CAGATTAAGAACCATGAAATTTTAGGCTGAAGGCTTTTTCCTCTAAATTTCATAACCTCTGAGAGTCTAATCTGAACTCAGATATGTTCAACACTTTAGTCACATATTCTTCTTGTTGACTCAAGTTTTTATTATAGACTATATCCCAACACCTGGTTCTTCATACCATGCCAGTTTCCTATCCATGAAAAAGCCACTAGCATGTAATATTTTGGGAAATGGTTTTTTTGTCTCTTATACAAAGGAACATAAGCAATAGGAAAAGTCCCTAGAAAGACCAAGGAAACTGATGGGAAATCATAAGAAAAGGTATAAAATAAAATATACTGATGAACTGTATAACCGTTGAGCTTTGTCTTTTATGAGATGTTAAAACAGAGGAAACCTGAGCTCTTGAAGACATTTCAAGTCTTTATGAAATCATTCAATGTGGGATGAGGAATGATAGTGAACCAGGACCTTCAAATGCTTGTTTAGAGTTTAAATATGAAATGTCTCCCAAAGACTCATGAGTTGAAGGCTTGGTCCCCAGTGCGGCAAGGTTTAAATGTGGGGCAGGAAATGATTCCAACACAAGGGCTCTAACCTCATCAACATATTAATCCATTTGATGGATTAATAATTTGAATGGACCAGGCATGGTGGCACCCAAAAATCTGAGGTGGGAAATCCCAAGTTCAAAGCCAGCCTCAGCAATTTAGTGAGGTTGTAAGTAACTTAGCGAGAGCCTGTCTCAAAATCAAAATGGGCTGGGGATGTGCCTCAGTGGTAAGGCACCCCTGAGTTCAATCCCTGATACAAAATAATAATAATAATAATAATAATAATAATAATAATAATAATTTTTTAGAATGGATTATTAGGAAAGTGATGGAAACCGTAGGAGGTGGAATCTATTAGAGGAACTAAGTCTCTTGGGAACACATCCTAGAAGGGTATTTCCTATACCCTGTCCTTTCCTTGTTTTTTCTGCTTCCTGGCTTCTAGAAACTGAGCATATTTCTTCTTCTTCTCTTTCTTCTCCTTCTCCTTCTCCTCCTCCTCCTTCTTTTTCTTCTTTTAACTCAAAAAGTGTTAGTATTGAATTTAACAATTTAACAAGATTATTCTAAAAATTTAAATTTAACAACAATTTAACAATATTATTCTAAAACTTTACAAAGAATTCCAGAAATCCAAGAATATAGCCAAAACTTTCATGCAAAATCAGACACTTCTACCACGCTCTTCTTTATGATGTTCCACCTCACCTAGAGCAATGGAGTTGGCTGACCACAGACTGAGACCTCTGAAATTGTGAACCAAAATAAATCTTCCGTTCTTTGAGTTGTTTTTTCTCAGGTATTTGACACAGTGATGGAAAGACTGACTAATAGCTTGGTACTTGATGCTCTGCCAAAGTACTATTTTAAGTATTAAGTATGCCACAGTGCAAACTGACTTATGTTTTTATTCCCTAATGATCCTTGGATTAATTTAAATTAAGTCCATGTTAGAGTCCATGGATGTCAGTGTTCTGCAAAATTGGCTGGGATCCAATTTTGCAGAACACTGACATCTCAGAAATCATTCTACCCCACCCATCTCTGTTCCCTCTACAACTGCCACCAGGGGTAACTTCTGTCTGTTTTTAACTGTATTTTGTTACTCTTATAAGTTCCATTGTTTTTTCTTATTTTATCTTTCACTAGATACTATTTTGTCGAACTTTATTGGCGTAGTACCATTCATAGAACCTGTAACATGTATCCAGGGCAGGGGGCCATACTTTAGAGTGCCCATGCCTTTGCGGTGTGGGATCCGGCACTCAGCACTACTCCAGCATCACCATAACTGTAAAGGTCTTCTGCTGTGACTTCATATTTGCTTTATGTCCATGAGACAAGATTTCCTTGCATGAATGCTGTGAGATTTTGTGTGTTGAGCCCCTGCCAACATCTACTTAAGGAGTATGGGAGAGTCTAAATGGCAAAAGTGTTTGGATAACAGAAAAGATAGATTCAAGCATTTGTCATTCCTTCTTTTCAGAGAGCATGAATCATTCATTCAGTGTTCATTCCTGATAAACTAGGTATCGTTTCCCGTCAGGATCAAAATGACCAATTTTTTGCCTCTCTGTGGTTCTGGTTTTGTGATTCCAGGGGTTCTCATGGATTAGTGTGAAATTATAGAACAAATTCCATTATTTCCACATTTATAAATGCATGCATGTCTAAATATAACATGTATAAAGATTGATATTAATTGTTTCCTTTGATAATTAAATGAACACATAAAATTTGAATTATAAACGTTTTTGTTTATATAAAATATTTAACAAGATATAAATTAAATAAAATTTTTAGCTTTAAGCCATTTTGACTTGGATTCTTTATTTTCTATACTTATAATTGGTGTTTGATTTTTAAATTTTTTTGTATTTTTTTAATTTGTTTTAATTAGTTACACATGACAGTACAATGACCTTGACATATCATACATTTGATTTTTAAATTTTAAGAAACAGTTTTTGGGGGGTTGGACTCAGGAGCACTTGGTCACTGAGTCACATATTCAGACCTATTGTCTTTTATTTAGAGACAGGGTCTCACTGAGTTGCTTAGTGCCTTGTTTTTGCTGAGACTGGCTTTGAATTCTTGACCCTCCTGCCTTAGCCTCCCCAGCCACTGGGATAACAGGCATGCACCACCGTGCCTGGGGTTATTAAGAACCAATTTAAAACAGTTGAGCAAATGGTTTTTAGGTCTCCATTTATATTATTATTATTACTTTTTCTTGGTGGTACTAGGAATAGAACCCAAGGGTGATTTACCAGTGAGCTATGCCCCCAGTCCTTTTTCTTATTTAAAGACAGGGTCTCATTAAGTTGACCTAACTGTCCTTGAACTTGCTGTACTCCTGCCTGAGCCTCCTAAATCTTTAGGATTACAGATGTACACCATTGCCCCAAACTCCATTTATATTCTTTCCTTGGAATTAGGAGTGGGCCTGTTGCTACAAGCCTCTCTTGTGAACTTTCTTGGTCCCTTCCATTAAAGCACTAGAATCATATGTTTAAAATATTGTTTGCTTTCCATGTTTCAACCAAGTGCAGCCTCAAGAAAAGGTAAGAAACCTCAGAAAAGAAATTTCATGATAAGATTATGCTCCACAGAAACTATAAAAATATTCTAAAATGTACTCTGAATCTATTAGATTAAATGCACAAAACAATAACACTAAGTCATTCTTCCTAAGTGACTCAATATCTCCATATAAATGTAACTTCTTCCCATATTATTTGTTCTAAAACTTCTACAAGTCATGAAAGATTTTCTGTTCTTCCTCCTTTTCTGAAAAATGCTCAATTCAAATTAAAGGCCTAATTAAAATTTACAAGTTTACACATCTCCTGGAAACAATTCTTGAAGACAGTTAACACTGCCTTGGTTAAAATCCACTTGAAAGTTGTAAGCTTTGGGGTAAAAAGTTTAACTTTTCTGAGACTTGCTTTCACTATATGTACAGTAGGTCTAAATCAGTATATGCTTTAGAAGAACATAAGGTGGCAGGCACAGCATTATACAAGAAAGTACAAGGATGAGTCTAGGAGAAGACTCAAAAGGCTGGCTCAAGTTTGCCCAAGAGACAATGTCACTAGCAGAGGATGCCTATATAAGTACTCATAAGATCACATTCCTTTTCTTCCTGTATCAATTTCTAACTCTACAAATGTGTAATGAAATGATGTCTATCCCTCCATGGACCCCACCATTAAGGAAAGAATTTTATCTGTTTTTTTTTTCCTAAGTAACTAGCACAATGCAAGAATGCATGGGTGATGCTCTGTAAATGAAGGAGAGAAGGTGATGTAAAAGAAATGTGAAATTTGTCAAAATCAAAATAGAACCACTAGTATTGACCTTCTCAAAAAAAAGGGAGGGGAGTCTGGGGGTGATGAAGACAGCATTCTCATTCACAGGATTGCCTGATAATAACTAGCACAAAAGACTTTACCAAACCAACTTTGCAAGAGGCCACCACCTTATGCAAAATGTACTAGGACATCTGCTCATCAACAGTCTGTTCAACCTCAGACCAACACTGCTCTTGATATTAATAACAGGAGTAAAGGATTATTGTTTCAAAATGTCTGATGTAATCCTCCTTATTTTTATCTTTAAGATTTCTCCTTGCCTCAATCTCTTGGAATATGCCTATAGTTTATTATGATCCGTGTATTGTCATTGCCATTCTCACCTATTCTCAAATACATTTCACTTTCTTTGGAGAATTTCTCTCTTTGCTTTTTGTTTAAGTTGGTAATGGCAAGACGGAAAGAAGAGAAAGAATAAAGAAAAGAAGGAGGGTCAAGGAAAAAGGAGAAGAAAGGAGAGGATGAGAGAGGGAGTGGGGAAAGAAGAGAAGCAATGACAAGCTGCTGGCCGATTCATCAGCTTACTTCCTGAAGCTGTCTTCTTCCTTGAGGTAGCAGAAAGCACATTTGAAAGTGTTTTTCAGCAACTGAGGATTGGACATTCTGGATTTAGTCTAGCCCTGAATTTAAGTCCCACCAGCTTTTAGCCTTGGGTAAGTTACTTCTCAGTTTCCTTGTGGGTAATACGGGCTGATGGGGCATATGAAGAGTCAATGAGATATTGTCTGTATGGCGCTCGAAACAAAGTTTGGCATGGTCAGCACTCAAAATAATAGCTGTTCGAGATTTATTCATATTGTAATTATTTGCTTAGGGTGGTACCACTTCAGCACCCGTCCCCAGGGGCCCGCCCTTCGCTTCGCTCGCGCTCGCCCATTGGCAGAAACGCGGAAGCACTTCCACCAATCCGCTTGACTCCGCAAGACCCGTGCAAAGGGCGGAGCCAATGGGCGCAGGGTTACAGTCTCCTGGATACGGCTGTAAACAGTGGAGGTTTCTCGAGCCTCGAAGCCCCAACAGCCGAGTAACCGTTACAGACCCCAACTCGGTCCGGCGCTTGCTGCCCGCCGCCCCGCCGAGGCTCATGGCACAAAACAGGGAAGGAGAAGAAAGTCCCTACGCTGTCTCTTCCCCCAGCGGCGCGACGCTGTCGGTGAGGTGCGGCGTCCACAGCCCCCGGCCGAAATTAAGTCTTGCGGAAACTCCTGACCTGCGTGTCTTCCCTACCCTCCGCTTCATCGCCTTCCGTAGACCCGTCCTCCCCGCAACTTCGCCTTCTTCTCCGCCACCCGCAACCCTCCTCACAGACTCAGTCCTGTGTGACCTTTTATGACCGCTCTTCCTCCCCCTTATTCAAGAAGGGACTCCAGGCCCCTACCGGTTTCCCGCCTCCCCCTACCCCTTCCATTTTTCTGCCATTCTGACCCTTGCGCGCTTGCCTTTTATTCCTCTGCACAACCTTTCATTTCTACTTCCTTTCTTTGGCTAAGTGTTGCCTGCAGTGACCTGGTTCCCCTGGCCTTTCATACATATCACCTGCCCCACCCCCCATCCCAGGGATAGCCCCCATTCCGTTCTTGCAATATTTGTCGACATTACCCCCCGACCACCACCAAAAACAAAATTAGGACGTCAAATCCTGTTTTCTCTCATCCACTAACTGGATTGATGTGCATTCGTAGCTAGCCCTGAAAAGCATAAAGCGTCACACAGATGCAGGTGGTATTTATCTCCTCACCTACATTGGTACCCGGGGTCTATTCAATACAGCATCCTCTGTCCACCCTGCTGTCTCTTCACATTCCTTGAGGTCACTCAACAAACCAGTGCCCTTCACTTGCCTTCTCTGCGTCTTAAAGCTTATCTTAAATATTTAAATAAAAATAGAATCTCTCTTATCTCAGACTCTCCTTCCTTCCAGCATATACCTAACCACGCACTCCTCACTTAAAAGTACATTCCTTTTATATTCTAACCTATCATTTACATCGACTACACTCTTTGTTTTCTTCATTTATCTGTATTTTTAGGCCTAAATTATGGCTGCATATTCTTTATCTATGTAAAGAAGAAATTTTCCTATTTATCTTACAACCACAAAGAATGTTGCACTACCCCAAGTTTTTTTTTTTTTTTAAGTTTTAGAAATTACTGATTATAAAAGAAGGGCCCAGGATGCACCTTGTTTTCTATTAGAATCAAGTTCTTTTTCCTCTGTGTTGTTTTCACCTTTTTTCTTCCAAGTATAGAAAACCCCAGAAATCCTTCTGAGGCTTTCTTAGGCTCATTCAGAGAGGGTTGTTTTTTTTTTTTTTTACTGAAAAAATTATCAATAAACAGCTCTTGAGAACTGTTCTCAAAGCTAGAAGATGTATGAATTTCTTTTTTAATCTTGCAGGTTATTTTGGCTAGGAAGGCAGTAAAAATAGATGTGTTTCAAACATTTTGATGAGTTTTTGTTCACTTTGTTAAAGAGAAGAAAATTATTTGAAATGTATTATATTGATGGTGACATATCTCTTCCCAAAGATGGGTGCAAGGATTCCCTAAGCAGAATGTTCATTTTGTTACCGAAGACACCATTTGCTACCCTAGTGGGAATTATGTAATATTTATTAATATTGAAACCAAGACAAAGACTGTACTCCAGTGTATTAATGGAATTGTGGGCGTCGTGGCAACTAACATTCCTTATGAAGTTGTGGCTTTTTCTGACCGGAAGCTAAAACCCAACATCTACATATACAACTTTCCTGGATTGACCAGAAGGACCAAATTAAAAGGTATCCAGGGGGAAGCGTCCTCTGTCCATAACTAAAGAATTTTTGTTATAATATAAGACCAAATATAGTTCTCATAAATGAAGGTAGTTTGTATTTTAAAGGTTTTTGTTTTAAATAGAAATCAAACTGAGCACTAAATTTTTAAGTGGGCTGAAACCCTGCTATTCAAAATGTGGTCTGATTGCCATCAATATTGGTGCTACCTAGGAATCATTTTAAAATTGCAGAAACTGGTTCCCACCCAGACCTACCAAATCAGAACCTGCATTTTTAAAAAATTTTTTTAGCTGTAGATGGACACAATGCCTTTATTTTATTTATTTATGTCTATGTGGTGCTGAGGATCGAACTCAGGGCCTTGCACACACAAGGCAGGCGCTCTGCCACTGAGCCACAACCTCAGCCCCCCAGAACCTGCATTTTTAACAAGACTTCCCAGGTGAATCATATGAACATTAAACTTTGAGAAGCACTGGGCTAGAACACTGTCCTTTTTCAGAGCAATGATTTTTTTCTTTCCTGATGATTTATTGAAAATTCAGGTGAATTGATGTTTGTATAATTTATAAGGACAAGTCTCACCCATTAAATTGGGATAATGTTAAGGCTGTGGTAATGAAGAAATACACACACACACACACACACACACACACACACACTGTTCATCAGGGTTACCTACTTTTTGACCTACTCTTGACTTATTCATGGATACAGTTGACCAAATCTGAGCTGCTGTACATCTCCTGATCCTCCATGTAACAATTCTTGCATTTAATACACCATAGTCAGAAAGTTCATGCTGGCCTTAGTTCTGGAATCTTGTAGGTTGAATGAGTGTTTGGGTGACATCAGAAAGTGGCACAATAACATTTATTTAAAATTAAAACATTTTATTTGTGGGTAAATATATCTGTGTTCTCAATAGATTAAGACAACTTTTTAAACATAATCCATTCACGTGTTAGGAACTGTCCATGTGGACTATAACCACTCTTCACCCTTAAAAATTCCCCAGCTTATTTATTTGTTCATAGCCCTCTGCAAGCAATCAGAAGTTAACTCAAGCTGGTGGCCAACGTACATACCAAAAAATGAAACCCTAAAAGAATTCACGATGAAAGTATGAATAAATCATCAAGGATACCTATCATTACCACTGTTATTTAATGGTGTAATAGCCAATTCTGATGTCCTACCCAATTCAACAAACTATAAAAATGAAAAAAATATAAATATGGGAAAGCAGCTTATGGGTGATGCAATAGTCTGCTATGACCAATAAAAGAATTCTCAGTAAAATGGTTTCAAAATACATATCCATGTAAGTATAAGATTTAAATACTTAGGAGTAATCCAAAGACATAACAGTGAACTAGATGAAGAAACAATAATCACTAAAGTATTTAACTCCATAGAGACATATATTCCTGGCTGGAAAACTTGGTTATTATAAACAAATATTATTTCTAATATTTGTTACAGAAAATAACTCATAGGTTTATCTTATTTTAGAAACAAGGAATACTGAAATGATCCAAAGTCAATCTGGGAAAAAAGAAAAGAGCATAATTTGAAAGAGGATGGAGGCAAGACAAAAGGTCTTTGTAGCATCTTGGTGCTATCATAATTAGTAGTGTGCTTTTGGTACAGGGACCTCCAGGTCTGTAAAGGAGTTATGGGCAAAATTTAGAAAAGCTAAGCATATGGTGAAGGAAACTCTCACACAAAAAGGACATGAATTATTCAACAATGATGTTAAGAAAAAATATTTCCCACTTGAATCAAAGTGTGAAATATGATATATCAAGAACTATGTAATGTTTTGAACAGCCAACAATAAAAAATTTAAAAAAAAAGAAAAAATATTTGAACAAAAGTATCAAATGGGATACTCGTTTAACATATTTAACTCATTTCACGTATATGCTCATTTAACGTATATACTCATTTAACATATATGCTATACGTTAAAGCATGTATCCATTTGAAAAGAAAATGTGGTAGAACACAGAAATGATTCAAACACAATTAAAAATAAAAGATTCACATATTACAAATTTAAAGCTTTTTGAACATCAAAAATACCTTGCAAAATTAAAAGACAACATGCCAAGGAAAATACTTGGAACAAATATAATCAAATATTTTCAGAGAATTTATGAAACTATAAGTAAGTAAAAAGACAAACATCTCTGGAGAAAGATGGAAAAGGAACTTGCCTAGACAAAAGATTACAAATGACCAAAGACATCGAAAAATTCTCAATATTCACTTTAAAAAGTGTAAACTGAGGTGCTGTTTTTATGCCAATTGAGGTCACAATTTTTTAAAGATCATGATTGCTAGGCAGAGTACAGTGAAATTGGTGGCATTCTTTTTTGCCAAAAGTGGGAGTATTAGCTGATAGAGTCTTTCTGGGAAATATTTATTTATGCTGTCTACAAGAAAAAAAAGTTCAAGTTTAAGGAAATACAGTAATCAGAAATGTGGTCAAAGATTTGCGCAAAGGAGTTTCGAGTAGTGTCATTATAGCTAAAGATGGAAAATAACCCACATGCCCATATGGATATGGTTAAATAAGTTAAAACCTCCCATAAAGGGGTATTATCACAAGCACTAAGGATTACATTTTTATAGAAACATTAAGAAAATGATCAAATGCTCACATAATATGAACAAAAAAAAACAATAGAACTCAACTGTATGTATAACCCAAATTCCATTGTAAATGGAGTATTTATTATATATAGTATTCAAGCCATGATTATAGCTACAAAAGCTACATTTAAAGAACATGTACTTTTAAAGTGAATAAATAGAGGAAAATACCAGAAAGAAATTTTCCAAATTTGGTGATAGAATCACAGAGAATATATTTTTCTCCCCTCCTCCCCCTTTTTTGTATTTTCTTCAAAAAATCATATTTTTAATTTAAAATGTATATACAATTAATAGTTTTCAATTATCAGGGGCAACTGTCTGTATAGCAATCATTCTATTAAGGCCTCATCCACAGAAAAATTTTTATTTTTGCATGGATGCTTCATTAGTATATATTGCTTTCTTTGTTAATTAGACTATGCTAAATAGATTCAATTAATGGTAAATTTACATTTTAGGATTATATTATGGTCAGGTAAAATGAGAAAGGCAAAAAAATTGGAAACGGGGCCATTGAAAATACATAGACTAAGTGATGAATATAAAGACAGACCAGAGCACAGGTAAAACTTGTACCTGTAGACCCACCTGAGTAGAAAAAGCGAAGGAAATCACACCCCCAATCCTGGGAAGCAGAAACAGACACTACCCTTTCTCAGCATCCCCAGGGTGCACATTTTAAACACTGTTATTGTTGAGACTTTAATTTCATTAAGTCATTGAGGCTGGCCTTGAACTTGTGATCCTCCTGCCTCAGTTTCCCAAATTGCTGGGATTATAGGTGTGCACCACCACACCCAGCTCTTTTAAAGTAAAGTTGCATTTCTTTAACTTGATGTACAAATCAGAACAGAGCTTTTTGAAGTTCCAAGAATTGGAAAATATTAAGCTGAGGGGCTAAATATGGCCTCGAAATAGAACATGGAGATAAGCTAGAATTATTACTACCCCTCAAGGTAAAATTTGAATAACTGCTATTGATGGGATACTTCATGGCTCTTGGGTTATTTCAAATCATGCTGGGACATTTATGGTGCAGTATCCTCCATTCTGCACCAAAGTGTAGAGACAGTGACTGCTGGTTTTAATTCATTCTAATATCTTTTAAAAATGAATCTTAACTCTACTCCTAGCTTTCTGTTCATAGTCTTAGAAGTCAGCCAGGGGATCTCTTACTCCAGTTGTTTAAATGCTTTAGAATGATGTAAATATCACTAGAAAAGAGAAACAGCTATAAGACCATAGTTAATCCCAACATGCCAACCAAATCCTTGTAATGGATTTTATATTTTAGGCAACATTCTTCTGGACTACACTTTACTTACCTTCAGTTACTGTGGCACCTACTTGGCTAGTTACTCCTCTCTTCCAGAATTTGAACTGGCCCTCTGGTAAGTTTCAGCATCCTGAAGAATTCCTTTCACTGGATTACATTTAAATCTTCTCTTGGATTTTATCAAAGGAAATATACATTAGAATCTGAAATAAGGAAAATGGAATAAATAAAAATCCTGATTGTAAGATCTAATATAATTGTTACATTTAGGCATAAAATTAGGCAGAGCAAAAACTATAAAATAATTTAATGATTGATTTTCTCTTTTTATTAAGATGCTGCAATATTTCCTTTGTCAGGTAAAGAATATATATATATAATATGTATGTATAAGTATATTCTTATAAATATGTATAATTATACACCTTTTCTTAACATATGATACTGCTGAGTTGTTAGCATGTTTTCAATGAATGCTGAATTTGAGATGGTCTCTGCATTACAGCTGCATTTGAAGTAATTGTGGAGACATTAGAACAATTATTTGCTGACAGTAGAATGATATCCTGCCACCTTTATAACAGTTGCCTGTGGATTAGACACATCTTGATCCACGCTGGCTCAACTCCCATGGCCAACTTCACAGCTGCATTCACTCTTCTATCATGATATAAATCCATGCAGGGGGGAATTTGTTTTATTAAGGGAAAGTACAAAATGTTCTAGAAATGACTGAGGACACTGGTACTTACCAGCATTTCTTGTACAAAAATGTAAGAATCTAGATTCAGAGAGACATATGTATTTAGTTTATGTAGAGTTTTACAGAACAGTTGAGATATAATTAACATATAACAAACTGCTCATATATAAAGCATACAATTTAAGTATCAAATTACATACACACCTATGAAGCTGTCACCATAAGACAATAAATGTATCCATCACCCCGCAAAATTTCCCTGCACTGCTTGAGATCCTCCTTATTGCAATATATACACTTATCCCTGTCTCTGTCCTGTCTCTACCCCATTCCCAAGAAATTACTGATGTGTTTCTACCATTGTAGATTATTTGCTTATTCTAGAATCTCACAGAGAGTTAGATAGTGTATATTCTATTTTGTCTGCCGCCTTTCATGCAGCATAGTTGCTTTGAAATTCACCCCTGCTGCTGTGTATCCAAGGTTGTTCCTTTCTAGTGTGTGGTACGGGGATACCATAATTTGTTTATCTTTGTATTTGCTTGCTAAGGCTTTTGTCATAAAGTACTGCAAATTGAGTGACTTTACCAATAGAAATGTGTTATCTTACAATTTAGGACAGAAAGCACGTGGGGAGAGAAGACAAGGGCATAGGTTCTGATGGCTCCCAAAGCAGAAGACTACACTTACCTTTCATACGTGCAACCTGTGAATGCTAAAAATAGCACTGACCAGGAATGAACAGGTCATTTAAAACAACAGACTTGGGCCTGAATCCTGGCCCCATAAATAGCTAGCTGTGTGATTTTGGAGAAGCTGAGCTTCAATTTCTCCTCTACTAAATATTTTCCAAGAATTCACTCAGTATAAGTATGCACAATATCTATCAAGGTATTTATTTAAGTCAGAGAATAAGAAGTCATCATCTTTAGGCTAATTCTGGCCTGGAATATGTTTTGTTTGGGCCACAGAATATTTTACAAATTGGAAACTTTTAGAGAATACATTATCTGGCTTCTCTTGAACACAGGCAACTCTGGACCTATGGTCCCACAAGGCAGTAGTCTCATATGTGTTATTGTGTGTGGTTGCTCACTCTTCTAGAAGGTCACAGTGGCTTCTACAATCCCAACGGGGGCCATAAACTGCCCATAAGGCAAGGATAGCTCTCCTCTTGTTTTTTTAATTAAAGTTTTATTGGAACATAGCCATGCTTAATTGCTTATATATTGTCTATGTCTGCTTTTGTTCTATAACACCAGAGTTGTGTTCTTATAGGAATCATATATGAACTACAAAACTTGGAAATATTTACTCTCTGGTTCTTTATAGAAAGAGTTTGCTACCCCCTGACTTAGAAGTGTATATTCAAGACATTTCATTCCTTTGCACTAGTTTCCTGGCCCCTATGGGCAGCTGCATTTGCTCACTGGAATCCAGTAAATGTTTATCCCCTGATTTCTGCTGGGTATATAATGTCTCTTTTCTTAGGCATCTTATAGCATAGTTTGGGGAAGCCTGAGACTTCTGTAATGGGTGAGGCATTTTGATAGACAAGGTGGGGCAGAGACTTAAGGGCAGTCTCTCCCCCACACTCCCGTTCCCCTTTAATTTTTGCATATCTCAATATTCATGAAAATATCTATTTAGAAAGATGCTGACTCAGAAGTCCTTCCTGACCAGATTACTTCTTTGGCCCACCTGTGTCCCACCCCTTGGGCCTTCCCACCAACATTCCATCACTGAAAGAACTATAAAAAGGGGAGACAACATCCCTTCCATGGATTCCACCTCTTGGGTCCCCTTCTTCCTCCGGGAGAAGTCTTTTCTGCTGTCCTTTAATAAACTTCTAATTTCTACTCTGAAAAAAAAAAAGAAAGAAAGAAAATGTCTATTTAGGAGTCAGTGTTGGAGGAGAGAAACAAGAGGGCAGGGGTGAGGAGAGCAGAGGAGGACAGAGCAGCTGCTGAAGGGAGACCAGAGATGACTCTGTTGTGAGGAGATTCTTCTTGAGGCCAGGCACCAGCACAGATGCCCTAGGGCCCCATGAATGAAAGTAGGCAGAGCTGGGAGATGGACTTTTCTTTAAATTTCTGCTGTGGCACCACAGGTTCTGGAAGCTCTGGGAGCAGCCTTGTGGCACCTTAGGTTGTTGCATAGAATATGTGAGTGGGATTTAATCCTGTGATGGGGACTAAGAGCCTGAGGCTTCACCAAGAGGTTTTGCTGGGGCAAGAGGGAGCTGTAAGATGAACAGGGAGGAGGTGACAGCAGCTCACCAAAATAAATACATTACATTTTATTGGAACATGACCAGTCTTTGACCTTTATCTGACACTCCTTGGAATGGAACTTTGTTATCATAGTATCCTGATTGATAGCCCCATGTAATAAAGGCAGGCGTGACTTTATAAATTAAACTTGGGAACAGATATATGATGTTGCAATTGAACCCTGATTCAACCCCTGGAAGGAACTATGTCCAAGGAGAATTTCACCTTTACATTCTAATGTTTAAAGAGAAAACAGTGGATTCATGTATTATTTCTATAATTAAAAATGAGAATTTGAAAAAATACATTTCAAAATAAGAAAAGAATGACTTCATGCTATAGTCACAGGCTGGGGATGTCTGGGATATCTGGGATCCATCAGCAAAGGGCATTAGGAGGATCCACTGCTATGCTCATCACCAGTTTCATCAGAGAATGAGATTTCAAATGGATCAACCCATTTAATCCTCACAAAAATCCACGGGACATCCACACTGGTTAGGCCTCACTTTAAAGAAAGCAAGCTTCAGAGAGGTTAGACATTAAAACAGAATTTTCAAACAGTTGGTGAGCGTGCAGAGAAGTTTTATATTTTTCCCTAATAATGGAACCAGCAGGAAGACAAAAGAAGCTGTTCCTGTCACAGTCCCTTTAGGTTGGATGGCTTATAAACAACAGACATTTATTTCTCCCAATTTTAGAGAATGGAAAGTCTGAGATCAACACACTGGCAGCTTTTGTGTCTGGTGAGAGCCTAATTCCTGATTCGTAGATGGTGCCTTCTCCCTGTGTCCTCTCATGGTGGAAGGAATGAGCTAACTTTCTGTAATCTCTTTTATAAGGGTAACAATTGCTGGGCACACTAGCACAGGCCTGTAATCCCAGTGGCTCAGGAGGCTAAGGCAGGAGGATGGAGAGTTCAAAGCCATTCTCAGCAACTTGGTGAGGCCCTAAGCAACTTGGTGAGACCCTGTCTCAAAAAAGAAAAAGGGTTGGGAATGTGTGTTAAGTGCCCCTGGGTTCAATCCCCAGTACAAACAAAAAGAAGGTGGGGTAACAATCCCCTTCATGAAGGCTCTGTCTTTATGACCTAACTCTTCCCCCAAACCATCCCCTATCCACCCCCAACCAGAGTTAGCAAAAAGAATGACTCAAGAAAATTTCTAGGTTGCATGCAAGAATGGTTAACTTTCCAGAGGTCTCTATAACTGTAGCAACTTTAAACTGAATTACTCTATCAGGCAATATAGTCACAGCATTATATCTGTTCCAGAGTTAAACTCTAATTTATAAAATCATACCTGCCTTTATCACATGGGGGCTGTCAATCAGGATACTATGACAATAAAGTTCCATTCCTAGGAGTGTCAGATAATGGTGAAAGCAAGGCACAAAGTCTGTTTTATGCTCCTGTTATGTTGTAAAATGCTTTCTGGCATAATATGAGAAACTGAACCAATGCAATCTTTTCTTTCTCCAGTTCGAATTTTTTATGAGCCACTAGCTTAAATTTAAACAGCTGGTGAATTGCTGAGTGGGGTTAAAACCTGAAGGGGTCTGAACATTTTCATAGCTCCCCATGGGAGCACGGAGAAGGGGCCTCTCATCTGAGGATGGAATGGGTGGTCAGGGAAGGCTTCCTGGGGAAGGGAGATGATGTTCAGGTCAATACCTGTCTTAGTTTGCTAGACTCATCATAGCAAAGTACCACAAAAAAGAACAGAAATCCATTGTCTCAAGTTGAGAGACCAGAATTCCTAGATCAGAGTGTTGATTCCCTCTGAGGGCTGTGAGAGAACCTGTTCCATGCCTCTCACCAACTTCTGCTGGTTTTGGCCATCTTTGGTGTCACCCAGATCTCTTCTTCTCACATGGCATTCTCTCTCTCTCTCTCTCTCTCTCTCTCTCTCTCTCTGTGTGTGTGTGTGTGTGTGTGTGTGTGTGCATCTGTTTCTTAATGTCCCCTTTTTATAAAGACACCAGTCATTGTATTAGGGCCTACACTAATGGCCTCAGTTTAGCTGGATTAACTCTGTAAAGACCCTGTTTCTAAATAAGATCACATTCTGAGGATACTGGGATCAGGACAGCAGCATATGAATGGGGGGTACAATTCAACTTAAAGCAACACCTAAATGTTGAGTAGGAATCAACCTTGAGTGGTGGGAAGGAAGAGGATTTCAAGCAGAAGGTTCTAATTAAGAGGGCATAATAAGGGAAATGAGATTAGACATGAAAGAGGCAAGTCTGGAGGGGTGGTCTGCAGCCAGCTCAGGAGCAGCCTTATAAATAGGTGATCATAGTTGGTCATGCAAACAAGACACTTTTGAGACTGAAAGGGTATGTTATCAATAATTAATATAGAGCACAGACACAAACTGGGTTATCCTGGGCATTCTGGGAAAGGGACTCACCTTACATATAAGCCATGCCAACGGGCACATCCTTTATCCTTAAGGCAATGGGAAGCTCTTATGAGGTTTTAAGCAGGGATGCAACATAAGCATATCTGCATTTAAGAAGACTGCTTCCAGCCATATTTTGGAAGGTATATTGCAGGCAACAAAGCATAAACATCAGTTTGGAGGCCTGCTGGTCCAGGGCAGAGATGAACATGGCGTGAGTGAGGAAGGGAGCAGTGGGGATGTTTGGGGGGTGTTTAGGAGTAGCATCATAAGACCTGGTGACCTACTGAATATTGGGTGTGGTGCTGAGGGGGAGGAATGGGTTGAGGGCTAAACCTAGAATTGTGACTTGGGCAATATGGAGACATTACTCAGAAAGATATTGAGGGCCTAGGAAGAGACAAGTTGAAAGAGGCAGGAGGGGAAGAAGAGTTGAGGGGGCAGGCAGAGTTGAAGGTGCATGAGGTATAAATGGAGATGTCCATTGGGTAGATATCAGTCAAGGTTGGGGCTGATTTGCTGAAACAGAAACACAAATCACCAACAGAAGTTTCTCTCCCATGCAGTTGTCTGGATTTGAGCTGCCCTTGGATAGTATTGGTAACTCCTCAGTGCTGGTGGCCAATCTCCTACTATCTTATTGCTCTGTCATTCCTAAGGTGTTGCCACCATCTCCAGTCTAAAATGGGGTGCTACTCATATATTTTGAGAAGCTAGAGAGAAGAGGAAAAGATGAGAGGGAGGGCACAGACTTTCTGTTGCACATACCACTGCCACCTAATCCCATTGGCAGCTTAGCCATAGCCAAAAGGGATGTTGGGAAATATGGTCCTCACTGTGGGAAACCATGTGCCTAGCTAAAATCCAGGGGTTCTGTTACTTAGAGGAAGAAATGGCTAACAGATATTGGAGGACACACATGTTTATGCAACGAAATATCCAGGACTAAAGCTCAGCAGGGAAGGCTAGAGATCATTTTGGGTATTGTTGAAGCAAATTGATCATTCAAATGTCACAAGTAGAGTACTAAAGAGAAACTAGAGGAACACCCATCGAAGGGACTAAACAGGGAAGAGGAACCCCTGAGGAGATTCATAAGGAGCAGACATAGAAGGAAGAGGAACACTAGTTGGGAAGGGTCCTAGAATATGCCACCTCCTGGGTTCTACAGAAAGCATAGCTGAAGCAAAACCCACAAGCCCGTTCTTTGATAGGAATCACAACCCAGGGGGATGGTAGGAAAGAAGGAGAGCAAATATGAGAGAGAATTACTTTGCAGCCATCACTGGGTACCATGTGCAATTGATGCTTTATGAACTACTATAAATACAGACTGTCCCCAGGCAATGAAAATGACTGAAGAAGGGAAGAAAAAGAGACAAGAATTTATCTGCTGACTCCTGTACCCAGTTGATCAAAGCTTCACAACACAGCATGTTGATTCCTCTGCACTTTCAGTTTTCTTGCAACCTCTTACATCTCGTGCCCAGGTGTGCTGGCTGGGTAACATGAAGCTAATCAAAGCAGAATTGTCCACAGAATTGGAAAATCACTGGGTCAATTTAACAAAACCAGAGAGGTAGTCAAGCACAGCTGAGCCAAAGAGAATATGAAGTGCCCCGTATGAGGAATGTGAGAATCCACAAGGTAGCTGCAAGCAATGTCAAATTCTGCAGAGGTAGAGTTGAACAAAGGTGTGCCCGTAGGATTTGGGATGAAGGTAGACATCTGTGTAGACATCTCAAGCAGCGTCCAGGGAATGGTGGTGGGGGGAAACATACATCCTGGGATATGAGAGAGAGGGGCTAAGGGAGCAAGTTTAGCACAAATCACTTAAGAAGTTAGGCATGGATGCCTGGGATTGAAGGAAGCCTTTTTAAATGATGGTGCAACTGAGCACCTACATGTTGAGAGGAAGGAGTGGCTGGGGGCAGGGAGAGGCTGAAGATGCAGGAGAGAAGGAGTCATAGATAAATGAATGTTCTGAAGAATTCAAGACCTGTAGGATTCAGCACAGGTGGTGAAATTGGCCTTTGGTAGGAGGCAAGACACATCCTCCACTATAACAGGAGAGAAGATATAACCCTAACGGGTGTGGAAATTGACAGCAGGTATTGGTGTGTGTGGGGGGGGTGGAATTCTCAGGTAATGATCTCTGTTTTCTTTGTGGGAATCAAGACCACTTACTAAAACTGAGAAGAAGAGTTAGGGGCTCTAGGAGAGAGAGTATTCAAAATGCTTGCATGGGCAAGAGACCCAACCAGAGAAACAGCAGGATTGGAGTTTGTACCAAGGGTCCAGTGGGAGTGGTAATCACAAGTTCATGGTATCACTGACTGGCACAGCCCTGTGACCTTTGTTCCTATGTCCCCAGCTGTCCATGCATTGGTTGTATGCACCCAGGGTTGACAGGCTCTGCCCGGTATCTGAGGCAGAAAGTCAAAGAATCAAGGGAACCAAAGACTGTAGCAAGAGAGTAGTTGATATGGTGGTCGTGGAAGACAGTGAGAGCAGGACAGAGCTGATTGACAAATTTAGGAACTACTAGTTCCTGTTTCCTGATGAATCAATTTTAAAATGCTACAGTTTTGATTTTAAAATCTCAGTAAATGATCAATTAACATTGGTAAGTATGGTACACCCAAATCCATATGGGGTATTCATTCACAGTGCTTAGAGAGTTTGACACCACATTTATTTTGCAGCAAATGTGATGATATATTCCATTTTCTAGATTTGGCTGAGTTAAATGCAAACTGAATAAACAGAATAAAATATGCTTGCTGTAGCATAAGACAGTGTGACATTTTAAAAATAGTTATTTTGTTTCTTAAAGGGATTCAGTATAATGATAAGCATACTTACAAATTTTATATCAATGTCATAATATAACACATATATAAATATGATTATATTTTAGTTATATAAATTATATTATAAATTATGTCCCAATTTATGTATTTTATGTATTAAAATAATTAGATACATATTCTGAAAGCATGATTTAAACTAACTTTTCCTCAAATGTTATTTTCCTCTAAGGAACTGGGAATCTAATGTCATCTTGTGCAAGAAATCCCAGCCTGGTCTGGATGTGAGCCAGCTGTCTTTTAATCCCATGAACTGGCGCCAGCTCTGCTTATCAAGTCCAAGTACAGTGAATGTGTGGACCATCGAAAGAAGTAACCAGGAGCATTATATCAAAGCAAGGTAGGAGGCATTGTTACCACACAACCACCAAGTGGTGGTTTTTGTTTACATACATGTAATATGGCTGGGTCAACTGGATAAATCAAGTGGCTTTAAATACACATACATACACACATGCACATGCTCATGCATGTACATGCACACGGAGCTTAAGTTATAACATCTTTCAACATATATCATTACCTTAGAGTGGTTATTTGCAGTTCAAAAGATTCTCTTTTTCATTTCCCAATGAGTTTCTTTTAAGTATTGAGTCCTTTGAGAGCTTTTTCCAACATGGTTTAATTTAGCAAATTTTGATTTGTACCTCCTATTTTGAAATACTATGATTGTACACAAAGGACATTCATGATGCTCTAGTAAAACATCAAAAGTAAGAAACTGTTAGAGGAAATATACAGATTACAATCTACATTCAGCCATATTACCCACAAAGAAGTGGTTACATATAATGGAGTCACTATATGTTTAAAAGAAATGGATCAGGGCTGAGGTTGTGGCTCAGTGATAGAACACTTGCCTAGCATGCATGAGGCACTGGGTTCAATCCTCAGCACCATATTTTTTAAAAAGTAAATAAAGTTAAAAAAATAGGTCAAAGAAAAATTCTGGAACAAATTGTTGACAATGGCAATAGTTGATGATAATGGATGCCTCTGTCATAAAAAAAAAAGTCAAAGACTAAATGTGCCACTGAACTGACCACTTCCATCCTACTCCAAGAAGTCAAAAAAAACCAAGAGATATTTAACAGATGTAACCTTAAAATTGCAATTTTTGAAAAATTGCCTTAAGTGATGAGTACACCTACCCCCTCACATCCCCCTGCAGAAGTTTTCAAGCTGGAGAGCTCTAAGTAAGGCCCTTCTTTCTGCTCCCTACTCTGCATGTCCTAAGCCAAATCTACCTCTAGGCAGAGTCAACACACTGCTTCTCTTAACAAAGTAGGTGACGTCTCTATCAGGGCAGTCACTAATTTATCACACCTCTGTCTCCCTTTGCTTCCCTGGAATACACTACTCTAGTTGTGAATGTTAACTTGTATGATTTTTTGATAAGCAGATAAAGTGGGGATTGTCCTGATTCAGGTAGCAAGTGGGATTCTTAAAGCCTTACATTTAAGTACTAGGTACTTTATTTCTCAAAATAATTTTTCATTTATAACATATAATCAAGAAAATTTTAAATTTAGTGTATGAGGCCACAAATTCTCCAAACCCACTTTTATAACCATACTATGGATTAAAAGCTGACATATGATAAATTTAAAAATTAATTCTTAATATGAGAGGTTGCAATAGTAGCTGAATGCAGACTACACATGTTTATTTTAGCCCACAGTGTTTTTTATTTGTATTAGTTGCTAATGTTACATTTGAGACATTTCTCATAAACATTCAGGTTATGATATTGTCTTAAAAGTTCGGAATAAAATTTCACACAGGTCAACAACCCTCTTGGCTGGAACTAAGTGATACCTGCCACCTTTACAAGGAATATTTTCCTATTGGTTATAGTCCCTCCCCTGCCAAGTCACACACTCACCTGCCTGACCCGTTAGCATTAAAATTTACAATTCTTGCTTTAGATTATTAGCTTTGGAGCATTTTGATAATCCCTAGGTTCATAATTTATAACTGGGCATAACTTGTCCTTTATGACATATTATTTATTTTAAGATATACCATTTGGCTTTTATCTTCTTGTGTGATTTTAGGTATAAAAACTTCTGACTTCTGGCAGTCCACTTCCTCTCTGGCTTTTCCCTCTTCTCTCTTACTTTGGCTGTTCATCACACTCTCTCTTGGCTCTCTCATGTGCTGTCAATGAAAATGATGCCAGCATCTGCATCTCCTGACCCTGGATCTACTTGCCAACTTCCACCCAGCATCTCTACCTGGTTGCCTTCCCTGATCCTCATTAGTATGTCCAAAACCAAAACCACACCTGGGCTCCCTCCTCTGCCACCACCCTCCCAGTCATCCAGACTAGACACTGATAAACAGTGGTTGCATCAAAGATTAGTTTCTGTTAATCTGATAGTTCTGATGTTTCTTTTTTTGTACAGGTCGGTAAAACTGCCTCTAGAAGATGGCACATTTGTTAATGAAACAGATGTGCTTTTCCCCCACTCACTGCCCAAGGATCTCATCTACGGACCTGTGCTGCCACTGTCAGCCATTGCTGGGCTAGTAGGTGAAGAGGCAGAAACTTTCCGGGTAATGACCTTGTTTGCCCAACAGTTGAATGGCTCAGTGGATTGTCTAACTGTGGCATGAGGCATGTAGGATAGCTGGGATCCTCCTGGGTTCTAATACAGATTAGCCACAGAGAGTGCTAGAGACAAAGACTGGAGTTTCTAATCTGGATGACTGGGAGGGTGGTGGCAGAGCAGGGAGCCCAGGTGTGGTTTTGGTTTTGAACATAGTAATGAGGATCAGGGAAGGCAACCAGGTAGAGATGCTGGGTGGAAGTTGGCAAGTTGTTCCAGGGTCAGGAGATGCAGATGGTGGCATCATTTTCATAGACAGCACATGAGAGAGCCAAGAGGGAGTGTGATGAACAAAGTAAGAGGAAGAGGAAAAAGCCAGAGAGGAGGTGGACTGCCAGAAGTCAGGAGGAGAAAGAGGAGTCTGAGAAGGCCTGATCCCAGAAGTAAAAGCAAATCCAGGAGAGAGGAACATAGAAAAGAGTGGAGAAAACTTTCCAAAGGGAGAGTTTGTCAAAGGCTGCACACTGGTTCATTCCATCAAGTCCTTCTAAGTAGTGACAATGCTGTTGTAGGCAATGAGGATCACATGGTGACCAGCCAGGCATAATCCTCAGATGGTTGATGTCCTTGTCAGGAGAGACAGCATTAACAACTCAAGAGCAAAGACAGACATAAAATCCTTGCAAAATGTGATGATTGTGGTAACAGGATAAGTGGGGATGGGGTGGCAAGAAAGGGATTCCCATATGCTGGTTGAGAAAGGCCTTTGGGAAGATTTGTACACCAAGACTTGAAGTGTTACAAGCAGAGTTAGTGTATTGGGTAGAGGGAACTGCATGTGCAATGGCCCTAGGAGAGAAGAGGATTTGGCATGTTTGAGGAACTGACAAAAGACCTGTATGATGAGAGCATCAATGAGGACAAAGTGATAAATGAGATGTGTGGTGACGCTCAAGAGGGAGACAGGGCACAGTCAAAAGTGGTGCAAGACCTTTGGGGTGCAGGTAAGGAGCTTCACTCTTGGGATCCTTGTGTTATACTGATGCTTGTTTTAAACTGTAAGCGGAGGATAAAAGTGGTAGAAGTTTCCAAATGTTTTTGACCACTGCAGAAAATTGAGCTCTAAATATTAAAAATAGCTCAGTGTGAGAATTGTAAAATCTCTCTGACAAGTAAGAAAAAAGAATCAAACCCTTTGGGTTTCCTCGAATGAATGACAACGATTGGTTTTTTTAAATTAGATCAATTAGAAAATTGATCCAAGATATAATGACAAATTCCTTTGTTTAGATTGTCTTCACCTTGAAAATATGCCACAGGAGGGCAACAAAGGAAAAATAAATCGAGGAACCTCCATGGTTACAGGTTGTGTTTAGTATTTGGTGCCTAGTACCCGCAAATTCCAACTATCTCAAATGTTTTCTTTTTTCCTGCAGTGAATTTCTACAGGAGCCCTCATCTTTCACATTTTGCACCAATATGATAAATCCTACATAAACATTTAAAATCCAGGCAATTGTTCTTGTTATTGGAAAATGCTATGAAACACCTCCTTTAATTATTTTATGTGGAATTACTATTGCTAAAAATGTTCATAATAAATAGACATATTTATTTCCTAGGATTTTTGCACCCAGTGCATTTTAAACTTCTTCTGAAAGCAACAAGTTAAAGTTATAGTTTGACATCTCTTAGTCATACAGAGAATACCTTGCATTTGAGTTAGGAATTAATTTTCCCAGTAGTTTAGTTTTTTATTTTATAGTTAAATAAGTGAGGAAAATGGCTAAAAATTAATGGTTGTGCAGCAAGCAAAAAATAGATCTCAAGTGTCTTGATTTCATTCCTTCCTTTGAACGTCATTTCTTGTGACCTGAGTGCTAGTCACAGAGAAATTAATAATGACTTAATCTATATAACAATCTTAAAACTTACAAGCTGTGGACTTTTATAATATTACAAAAATTAAATAATCCCATTATCTTTCTAGTCGTTAATGCTAGAAGTACACATTATAGGCCTTGAAATAGTCCCAAGTCACATTACATAACTTATTTAGGGCATTAAAAACATATCCCATTGTAGTGTGGGGAAATCTGAGGCAGAAAATTGATCCAAGATATAATGAATTTAATGTCAAGGATCCAGTTTCCTTTTTCCATCTACCCACCCCCACCCCAAGGGTTTTTTTTTTTTTTTTCTTTTTTCAGAAGTTGATCAATATAAATCTTTTTCTTATAACTTAAGTATTAAAACATATTTTGGAAAAATACATTTTCTTTTTTTTTTTAGTTGTAGATGAACACAATATCTTTATTTACTTATGTTTATGTGGTGCTGAGAATCAAACTCAGGGCCTCACACATTCGAGGCAAGCTCTATACCACAGTCCTAGAAAAATACATTTTCTAAAGCAGCATTAAGTTGGACTCCAACTTTTTATATTTAGTCTTCAAGTGATGAAAAAGGAGGTTATGTTATTAATAAATATTTTTAAGCATAATTGGTAGCTTTCCTTTTAAAACTTTCATAACTTTCACAATTGAAAATTATTACATCTGCTCACATAATCCATATAATATCACATTTATTTTAAGTGACAACAAATAGACTTATTAATGGAAAAGTAGTAAGACAAGTTCAGATTTATCTTAAGAAAGTAAATCCACATATAATACTAGTTTAATATACAAAGATTAGACAATTTCCATTTTAATCTTCATATTCTGCTTCATATGACAGATTCATTGGCTTTGGGAGAACCAGATTGGTGGTGGGTGTTTTGTTGTTGTTTTAAATATTTTTTTTTATTCTTTTAAATATTATTAAATTAAAATGGAAGTATACAGGGCTGGGATTGTCGCTCAGTGGCCGAGTGCTTGCCTCACACATAGGAGGCACTGTGTTTGATCTTCAACCCACATAAAAATAAATAAATAAGTAAATGTATTGTGTTCATCTACAACTAAAAAAATATTTTTAAAAAATGGAAGTATACACCTCAGGTGTTCAACTCTTGGGGTCCTCCGTGTTATCCTCTGTGTTATTCAATTACTCAGTGTTTTAGTCAGCTTTTTGGCTGCTTGTTTTAAAGATTTTAAGCCACTGCCTTGCCAAATAAGTTCTGTTTTAAGGTTTATAATCTAAGGTTAGATGTCATCCAACCAACTTAAAAATACTTTAAATAATGGTGACTCAGTGAATGACTATTTTCCCCTATGAGTCAAATCTCAGTCAGATACCACAGAAAAGTCATTGATTGGCAGCAGTTGAATTCTTTTGGATGGCTTTTTTTTTTTTTTTTAATTCATTGGGGACCACATGATTACTTCAGCATTTATCTTCTAACTATCCAAGGCTAAGAGGCCATTAATAGTCCAATCATATCATTAAAGTCACTATCCTTTTTTAAAAATTGCCATGATGAGTCTTGCCATGTCTGGCTGCTGCCTTAGACATATTTCAAGGCATCTCGAATGATGATTTCTCTTGAACCCCAACCTCGCACGCACCAAGAAGAATCCATTGCTTTCAGTGACGCTTCTTAAACACCTCTTTACCATAACCTACCATGTCTTCTCATTCTGCTATTTGTCAACACTGCTTGTTCCATCAACAGGTGATTTTCCTCAGGACCTGGCTCGATGCCTGATGTATAACCAGTACCCAGTAAATATTTATTGAAATATCAATCTTGCTACAAATTTGTACCCCTCAGGAATCTTCTAGAAATAGTGACTTTGACAGAGCCACACTTGCCACTACCTTGTGAGGAGCATAATACTAAAGTGTTATCACCTAAGACAGGGATCAACAAACTCAGGTTTCTTTTTACATCCCAAGCTTAAGAATGTTTTTTGCATTTTTCCCATATTTTATTGGTGCATTATAGTTGTACATTTTGATCTGTTTTACATGTTGGTTTGACTTTTGCATTTTTTAAAGACTAAGAGAAATAAAAAGAAGATACAGACACATACCTATGTGGTCCACAAAGCCTAAAGTATTCACTGCTTACCAGTAAACATTTGGTTAGAACTTTGGTCCACTTTATTTTCAGTCCCCAAAGTAAGCTTTTCTTCTAGGTATAACCTATAGATTTTGTGTATTTCCCTTTCCAGGAAATTAAATCACACAGGATGTCTCATGAACTAAATTTGAAAGGCCCTAGGTTCTTGTGTCCACTAAGAAGGGCCACAGAATCAGAACAAGCTCCTCACATTCTCCATGAACTGCAAGGCTGCTCCAAAGCAGCCTTTTACATTAACCACCTCCTGTAGAACAAGGAGAGGGGACTGCAGATGAAAGTCTTTCCCCCATGGTGATTTTAGCTAGATAATGGCTTTCTTAGATCCAAGACCAAAAAAGTCCACAAAGAAACATTTTAGAAGATATTCCTCAAAACTTCCATGAGAATCCCTGAGAATGGCAGAGCTCTGAATGTGTCAGCAGGAACAACTCTTTTTTTCTTAGTGAATTAAAAATGGAGAGAGGAAGAAGTTCGCTTAGCTCTTGGAATATGGTGAGACCAATTAAATTTATTATATGAGCGTAGTCATTGGTTTCTTTTTGGCAATTGTTTCGATGGGTATTTCTCTGACTCTTAGCCATGACTGCTGTCCTTAACATGAGGTTTTTATTCTTTCCCTGAAGCCAAAAGACGATTTATATCCTTTGCTTCACCCCACTATGCATTGCTGGACTCCATCAAGTGACCTGTATGTTGGCTGCGAAGAGGGTCATCTTTTAATGATTAATGGAGAAACCTTAAAGGTGACCGTGCTCCAAAAGATAGAAGACATGACACAATCAGGTGAGAAACTGCTCTGCCAAGGAGTCCCAGAAGTGCAGCTCTGGCTTTAGCTTGGCGTGCACTTGAAGATGGGTGCTTTCCCCATTTCTCCTTTCTCAGACACATCTTTGATTCCTCCTTCTCTTTTGTCTTTTAATTATTTCAAAGTCCTACAGACACTCCTCACAGCCAGCTACTGTCTATATGAAGAGTTGCTATGCACTTGGCATTCTGCTTCCTATTTGTATGTGTGTTTCATGTACCTCACAAATAACATAAGCAGATGCTTTATGACCATACATAGATGAGGTTAAGAAATGTGCTCAAATTCATATATATCACGATGCTAATGTCAATCCAGGCAAGAAGACTTCAGTCTAAATTCTTAGCTGCCAACCTGCATCCTTTCCCATGTACATGCCCCTTCTGCTTAGACAGCTGATCATGCCTTTTCCTGTCCCCAACTCTTTTCAACCCATTCTGCATGGTGATCATCTCCTTTCTTTCCAACTTCTTCATACATATTACCTTATGTTGCCTGGTTATAATTTCAAAGAGAAACTTGGTATTCTCCCTTGGGTCCTTGGATATCCTTTCCTGGTCTCATCAGCTAAGGCCTCAGTTGGAACTGGGTCACAGGAGCCAGCATGTGCCCATTGAGGGCTGGGTGTAGACCCAGGGAAAAGTTCCCCAGGCCTGGCTGAGGTAGTCTCTGTTTCTATGGTTTTTATCATCTCACACCTTGATTTATGGAGCAAACTCAGGACTAACTTCACAGACTTTATCTGTCTGATCCCAACCAGGCAGCCCATTCCTGCCCAACTGCCCTTTTTGGGAACCATCTTCAGCACACGTCAAAGGCTGTGCCGCCTCGATTTCAAGCTCTCCTTACCCCAACTCTAGCTGCTCCATTAGTGTTATTCCCCACTCCTCCCCAGCAGGAGTTTTCTCAGCTAGCCAGCATTTCCTCCAGCCATTCCAGATATGCCTCCTAGCTCATCCACCTGCCACATCTCCTCTCTGAATCTCCCAGTGCCCAGCTCACATACCATCCCTCCATGCTCCCCCATCCCAGTGGACTTCACAGGTCCAGCCTTCCCACCCGCCCTTCCCTTTACTTCATCTGCACCCTCCAGCCTTGTTCTGTTCTCTACTCCAGCACCTGAAGTACCACCCCAGTGGCTGTTGAAAGAGCAAGCCCCTTCCTGCTTTGTCTTTCCAGCATCAGCATTTCCCTCATGAACCTTTTTTAAATTTTCTCATCGTTTGTGTGCTTTTTCCAAATTCTGTTGGCTGGCTTTTGTCATTAACTCGGTCTGGGGTGCCCCTCTCTTCTTTGTCTACTCGGTGAAACTTTCCTTCAGTGTGGCACCTTCCCTAGCCTCACACCAACCTTCAGGCACAATGAGGTGCCCTTGTCTGGGATTTCCTGGCCACAATCTTTTGTTGGAGCTTCATCCTGTGCTATTACTATGGCCCATGTGCATGTCTGTCTTTCCCATTAGTCATCAACTCTCTGAGGTCATTGAGAAACTTCATTCTTTGACTCCAAAACGGGATCCCAAGTATTGCCACAGAGTAAATTGGCACCTATATGCATTTTTAAAATAATTACAAAACAATGCTTCTCATTTCCAAACTTCTATCCCACTTTCAATGTATTTTGCACAATTTAGGATTTCATCGTAAATAGCCTTATATTATTCATTATTTTCTTCCTGCATATTATTTCTTATAATTTTCATACTTTATTGCAAGTAATGTTGAATACATGTTTATTGAGCCTCTATGATGTGGCAGACACTAAGCAAGTTACCTTAAAGGTTATAGAGATGACAAAGGGTCTTGTGATTTCCACCCTCAAGCGATTTAGGTTTTATTGAAGAGGATAAGAGCAGTGACCTCATTAAGAGCAAACTTCACAAGTGCCATGGGATCCACATAAGGAAAAGCATCCAAGCTAAGCCATGCTGAATGTTGCATTTGAACTGGCTCTTGAAGGCAGTGTTCACAGAGGGAGATGTGGCTAGATGGAATTTTTGGCCTTGTTATCTCCATGGATACAAAAACATGGGAAGGTTGAAAAATATTAAGTGCCCAGTTTGGTGCATTGAGTATTATAAAAGAATAGTGCAGAACGAGGGGGCATCATGCCACAACTCACCTTTATTGTTCACTCAAGGCATTTATATATATAGTTAATAACAGTAGGAAGACATCAAAATCCCTAGAATAGGGCCAGTGTGGTGGCACATGCCTGTAATCCCAGCAGCTCAGGAGGCTGAGGCAGGAGGATCTCAAGTTCAAAGTCAGCCTCAGCAACTGCAAGGTGCTAAGCAACTCGGTGAGACCCTGTATCTAAATAAAATACAAAATAGGGCTGGGGATGTGGCTCAGTGGTCAAGTGCCCCTGAGTTCAATCCTTGGTACCCACCCCCCCAGGGGAAAAAAAAAAACTAGAATGGGGATGGACCTCAGTTGAAATTGTTCTTGTGAAGATTAATTTAGCCAATAGTTCTGGAAAGTAGGATCCTAGATGTGGGTGGCCATAAGCAGCAAGCACTCAGACCATGCCAGGACTCATAAGAACCTGGACTCCAGTGGCAGCTGAATTGGAAAGCAAGGACTCCTGTGCGGTGAGCAGTCTGAAGGAAAGAAAGGGCAGTGTGCTGCTCAGCCTCCAGCAAAATGGCAGACCACAGTAAGCAATAAGCAAATAACTGAATGGATGCCAACTTGAACCTTTGATTTTGTAGTTCCAGGTTGTCTATCTAAAAAGATAATGTGTTTTTGTTTTTCCTAAAAAGATAATATTTTATTTGTAACAAGGACAATATTTTATTAGTAACAAATGTTCTTATGGAACATTTTTTTCCTTTTTCCTTTCTTTTTACCCACTGTGCTTTATTTATTGACAAATAAATTTACATACTCTAGAATTCACAAATCTTAAGTATACATCTCCATCAATAATGTAGTTTTGGCTTATTTGGTTTTTTCCCCTCAACCTTTTCAACCTGAAAGTGCTTTCCTAAGAAATGAAATATATTTACTATATAATTCTATAATATTGATTACATAGATCTGAGGATGAAGACATTCAAAACACCTTGCTGTATTTAATTAGTGATCATTGCTGAGCAGCTTTTGTTAATTATTTACATTGCATTGTTAACTGTGTGTCCTCTACTTTACCTTTCTTTTAGAACCTCATCATATCAGCCCAGTCAGCCTGGTGTATCAGAAAGATGGAGTGTTTGCTTCTGGAATTGTAATGTATTTTACTTTTTAAAATCAATTGCTTTCAAGAAAAAAAAATTCCCTTTTCATTTACTATTAGGAGCCATATTTAGGGATGTCAAGTTCTGCCATATTATTAATTAGTATTTTTCCCCTTTTGGATGCTATTAACAATTTTTATTATGAAGAATTTTAGTTAGATCCACAAGGTGAAAGAACAGTGTAATGCAGTATCATATAGCTATCTTACTCCAAAAAGCAAAATCAGTTAAAGAGTCCACTGCCTTTCCCCCAGGACAAAAACACATAGTCTATAACCCAATTCCGTGCTCCTTTCTGCAATAATGTGTTAGGGTGTCAAATATGAATCTGGAACATTTTCTCTAAGTTTTAGCTTAGACCTTGGGCATGACCACTTGCTTGCATATTGTCATGGTTGAGGTTAGGGTTAGGATCAATATTCTCCCCTGCCTGGAATTTACTTTGTACCAGGCACCACACTGAGTGCTTCACTTGTATTTTCTAATTGGTCCACACAACAACCTTATCAGGTATAGACTGTTAACATCTTCCTCAATCACATGAAGGAAGCAAGACTCACAAAGAAAGTAACTCACCAGAAAATACGTGAAGGACCTTGGCTTGAACCCAGGGATATCAGACTTCACAGTCTAATCTTCTCATTCATTAAACATACAGCCTGAGGCTAAAGGATCATAAGCTGGAGGCCAGCTTGGGCAATTTAGTGAGTTCTTGTCTCAAAGTAAAATAAAAGGGCTGGGGGTTGTAGCTCAGTGGTAGAGCACTTGGCTGGTATGTGTGAGGCCATGGGTGAAATCCCCAGTACTACAAGGAGCAACCCCTGCAAAAGCCACAAAAATTCAAGCAAAACAAAACAAAGTAACAAAGAACCAAGCACAGCCCCAGTAACACAGCCATATCATGTGCCTTCATGATATTGTAATCAATGCTGAGGTTTTTAATTGACCTATACTAAAATCTCAGGTCTACTTGTAGCTGTCCCCAGTCCATCACATCTCCAGGACCCTGAGGGCATCTGGGCAATGACATCATGGTGACAGGTGCAGATCCACCTGCAAGAAGCAATCTGGAGCCCAAGCAACTAAGCTCAGCTTGTAACCCACCCCCACAACTTGACAAGTGGACTACCCACTCCTCTTCCCTATATTTAGTCTGCATTTGTGCCCTTTGTGACTTTTGTCCTTTTCAAGGCCATCCTCTGTGTTTATTTTAACTTACTTTACAGAAACAACAGCAGCATTTGCTCTGGTGAGGGATGCAGAATGGTGATGAACTTGAAGATTGCATCTGGCATTTCTCCCCCAATACCTAAGGCTCAAGCATCCCATGTCCAGCCATCTCGCAAACACCTGCTCTTGGTTATACCAGGGTTTAATTTAGGAAATGCAGGATACTTTTTCCCAAAGCCTCCTCACTGTTATAAAAATAACTCAAATTGTTTTTAAGGGTAGTGAAATTAACTCAAACCTATTTATAGCCAATCAGCCAACCAACTCATTTTTACTGGATGGCTGCCATTGTCTAGCACTGTGTGAGGAACTGGAGAAGAGGATGTGAAGGAAATAAAAGGCACCCCCACCCCATCCTTGGGTCATTTAGGAAACACACATAATAATGATTAAGAAATTTACTTAGGGCTGGTGTCCTTTGAAATAAGGAGATTGCTGCACACAAGCCAACAAACTGCCTCGTTTGTCCCACCTCCTTTACAGTGAAGAACATGGTGAGAGATAAATGCTAGACAAGCAATAAAGGAGTGATCAGCAAAATTTTAGGGAACTGAAAAGTGTGTCATAACAGAGATAAAACTGAAGAATGATCAAGGAACCTGGTTAAAAGTTGCCTGAATAAATATGAAAGAACAGTGTGTTCTAGAAAGTGTAAACACAGATGACCACGCCAAACAAACAGTGTTGGTAATCCACAGACTTTGCCTGATGAAGAAATTGTACCATGCATTGAGCAAGACTGACTTTCTGATTTTATCTCATTGTGTTTGGTCTGTAGGAAGGCTCTGTGTACTCCTTCATTATTAAAGATTCAAGTTATAAAGTGGAGACTTTTCTTGAGACTGAAGGGCCTGTAGAACATATGCTGTTTTCTCCCAGTTACAAAATGTTGCTGATTCAAACAGACAAGGTATGTGAGATGGTAATTTCTTGATATGCAATTTTCAGATAATATTATTGTCATCATTGCATGACAGGAATAAAAGAGTGTGCCGCATAGTGATTTTCTACTACTCAGGAATCTTACAGTTACAAATGAAAAACTACCCAATTTCAAAGGCCCAAATGAAAAAGAAATGCTCATTTTTTTTCTTCTTTTTTTTTAATTTGTTCTTTTTAAGTAAGCATGGCAGTAAAGTATATTTTGACATATTAGACATACATGGAGTATAACTTATTCTAATTAGGATCCCATTCTTGAAGTTGTACATGATGTGGAGTTTCAGTAATTGTATACTCATATATAAACATAGAAAAGTTCTGTCCAGTTCATTCTACTGTCTTTCCTTTTCCCATACCCCTCCCTTCCTTTCATTCACCTTTGTCTAATCCAATGAATTTCTATTCTTCCCTCTCCCCCACTTTATTGTGTGTTAGCATCCAGATATATCAGAGAGAACATTCGGCCTTTGTTTTGGGGGATTGGCTTATTTCACTTAGCATGATAGTCTCCAGTTCCACCCATTTACCAGCAAATGCCATAATTTTATTTTTCTTTATGGCTGAGTAATATTCCATTATATATATATATATATATATATATATATATATATATATATATACACACCAGATTTTCTTTATTGATTCATCTGTTGAAGCTTGGTTCCATAGCTTAGCTATTGTGAATTGAGCTGCTTTAAATATTGATGTGTCACTGGAGTATGCTGATTTTAAGTCCTTTGAGTATAAACTGAGGAGTGGGATAACTGGGTCAATTTGTGGTTCCATTCTAAGTAGAAATGTTCATTTTCATTCATGTAACTGAAAGAACAAAGAGTGGATCTGAATCCAGGGGCTCCCATTGGGCCTTATTTCTTGAATCTCTTAACTGCTTCCCCTCTGCAATTTCCATTGCTATGCAGACTCTCCCCTTGTGGCACTGAGAGCCTCCTGCAGCTCTCATTTGTACTTCTGTCCTCGTGATGACTTTGGTAGAATGTTACCAGCTGGGGAAAAAATGCCCTGGAACATAGATTCAGGTAGACAAGTCTTGTCTACCCCTGGATCAGTCACTATTATCAGGGGGAGTCTAAGCTCTGATTGGCCAGACCTCATGTCTAGCCCTGGGCCCTAGGTAGAGTCAACCCATCCATATATGGTTTGACATTGGGGATATAGGTTGTTCTCTAAAGAAAACGAGATCTCTTAAGAGAAGAAGGGAGCTGAATCAATGCAGAGTAAAAACTCATGACTGAGTTATACTGTCAGGAAGACTCCTAATTTAATAGAATGACCCTCAAAGGTCAGGATTTGCATCCACTTACATTGCTAGGCAACAATTTTAGGTAGATTACAAATAAAGTTTAATAAACTTAAATTTGAATATGGAAAGACTTCAGTTTCTGGTGATTACCAGAAGTCAAAACAGCTATTTTAATAAATAAATGATAAACTTACAACATCTATGGAGGAGAAAAAACTATTTTTAAAATTATCATAACAGAAGAGGAAAAAGACCCAAATAAAGGTTCAAAAAAAAAGAAAAATATACTAACAAAGCAAAAATTAAATGAACAAAAGTAACAGAAGTTTGGATATGGTTAAAAAGAGAATTTATAAACTGGAAGGTAAATCAGAAATTCTTTAGAATGTACCCCAGAGAAACAAAAGGGAGGGAAATACAGAAGGTAGAATAAGAGACACAAATAATACAGTGAAAAGATCTATTTGATTGGCATCCAGACAGAAGAGAGAGTGAGACAGGGGCAATACTTAGAAAGATACTGACTTGAAAATTTCCAGAACTGATTAGAGATGAATTTACAGATTAAAGAAGACCAGCAAAGCCCAAGCAAGATCCATAAAACAATATTCACATTTAGACTTCCCCAAGTGAAATTCTTGAAAAACAAGACAAAGAAAAATTTTTTAATTAGTCTAAGAGAAAAGACAGATTACTTCAAAGGAATTTCAATTTGACTAATAACTGATTTCTCTATGGTAATAATGTAAGTAAGAAATAATGGAATATCTTCAATGTGGCACAGGGGTCAGCAATTATAGCCTGGGTATACTAATATTAGACAAAATAGTCTTGGTTTTTTTTGTTGTTGTTGCTGGAGATCGAACCCAGGGCCTTGTGCATGCACTCTACCAATGCCTGGAATCCTTACCCAAAATAAATGGCTTTATTTATTTATCTATTTATTTATTTATTCAAATTTTTATTAGTTATTGACGGACTTTTTAATTTTTTTATTTATTTATATGTGGTGCTGAGAATCGAACCCAGTGCCTCACACATGCTAGCAAGTGCTCTACCACTGAGCCACAACCCCAGCCTGAAAATGGCTTTATTTTGAAATAATAAAAAAATTAAGTTCACCAGGAATATATAAACATTTGAAATACTGAGGCTGGCCTTTGAACTTGTGATCCTCCTGCCTCAGCCTCCTGAGCCACTAAGATTACAAGCTTGCACCACCATGCCCAGCTTGGCTTAAATCTTTATTCCCTTATTTTGTCTTGTAGTATCCTCCTTCTCTGCTTTCTTCTTCTTTTTCTCTTCTTACGATTGTCTTTATTTAACTTTAAAGATTTGGGGGGATATATGATTTATTGTCTGAGTCTCCCAGTAAAACATAAGTGCCAGGAGAGCAGGGAATTTCTATCTATTTTGTCCTCTTACAGAGCCCCAGCATCCATTCAGTATTTGTTGACAGAATGAATGAGAGGTAAAATTAGCAAATACCTGCCAAATTTTGAACTACGCAGAGTTGTATTTTTTAGTTAAATAAGAACATTTTGTGTTTAGAGGCTGGGATGTGGCTCAGCAATATAATGCTCGCCTAGCACATGTGAGGCCCTGGGTTTGATCCTCAGCACCACATTAAAATAAAGGTATTATGTCCAATTACAACTAAAAAAATAAAAATTAAAAATTAAAAAATTGTGTTTCATTCAAGTAAACTTGAACCAGTTGAAACCAAGTTACTTATTGCTGACTAAGTGACCACATTATATCATAGCTGCTTGACAGAGATGCATACATTACAGATAGATTTTTCTAGTTTTGAGAAGTGAATCTGAGAGCTGAGAATGACAAACAAGTCATAAAGTAACCGCCTCAGCCACATTTTGAGGATTTTTACAAAGGCTTGAATTTTAAATCCATGCCTCCCCTCCCATTGTGTTTAACATGTGCCAGGATTTAGTTCATCTTAAAAACTTTTCTGTTTTTCCATGTTTTCCAACTTCTCTACATAAATACACATTATTTTTAAAATCAGAGAACGTGTTTTGTTATGTTTTATAAATTTAAAAAAAACAAATGCCTGGAATCAGGGAAGTCCTATTTATTATTTTAATTAGTGAAAATGTATCAATCAATCAATAAACAAATCAAGCATCTAGAGTTTAAGTTTTTTAAGATCAGTTCTGTGATTTTCCATCACCTATTCCTACAAGGTGCTTTGTTCATAGTAGGCATTAAATAAATATTTGTTGAACTACATACACAATGTTGTAAGATGTTTCCTTCTTTCTTTTATCAGGGATCTGTTTTTATCTACACTTTTGATGAGAAGCCAACCTTAGAAAAAGTCCTAGATGCTTGTGATGGGAAATTCCAAGCAATTGACTTTATCACACCTGGAACCAAATACTTCATGGTAAGGAATATCTTAATATGGCACAATAGGATTTAAAGATATGATGTTTCTGGCACTAAGGTTGTGGCTCAGCGGTAGAGTGTTCGCCTAGCGCATGTGAAGCCCTGGCTTAGATCCTCAGCACCACATAAAAATAAATAAATAAAAAGCAAAGATATTGTGTACAACTAAAAGAAATAAATACGTAAAAAAAAAGATGTGATGTTTCTAGATTAAATTCCTATCCATATCTAATTGGTAACTTTGGAAATTCATGTACAAATAAGAGGCAGAGGGTATTTTTGAGTACTTGTAGAAAAGCCAAACACTTTCATAATCAAATCTTTTTTGCTCAGGCAGAATGATGTCATCCTATTGTGACTCCATAATATTATCTTAGAAGCCATCCTTTTAATATTCACCACCCAAGTCTGCAAGCAAGGATTTCAACACATTCATGCTAATGACTTGTCAGCACCCGGTAATCTGTTAGTATTTATCTCCTTCCAGAGTGATAAAACAGCACCACCCAAGAATGAAGATTAAATATGTGTCGTTCACACATCATTAATTCAGCCTATTTAGGGGAGAAAAGAAAACTGGTGCATTTAGAAACTGAGTATTTCTGGGCTAGGAATATACCTCAGTGGTTGGACACTTGGCTAGCATGTGTGAGGCCCTGGATTCAATCTCCAGGACCAGCAGGGGGAAAAAGAAAGAAAGAAAAGGAAGAAGGAAAGAGAGGGGAGGAGGGGAAAACTATGTACTTCTTTCCCAATGTCTATTGTTTATCCTTATTGATCTCAAGAAACATATTTCAGTTTTCATATGATTTATCAATGTTCTAAAAAATAAAACCATACAAGCCATGCAAGGCAGCAAAAACCAAGAGAAAAACTTGGAAGAAGCCGGAGGGGGGAAAAGGCAACTTACCCAAAGAAGAACCAGGATAAGAATTACATTGAACTTTTCTTCTGAAACCATGCAAACAAGAGAATACTTAAAATATTGAAAGAAAGAAAGAAAGAAAAAAAAACCCTACTAACTTGGAAGTTCGTATCCAGTGAACTAGCCTTCAAAAGTAAAGAAGAAATTATTTCTCCAAAAAAAATGAAAATCAAGGAAATTTCTTGTCAGTAGACTTGCCTTGCAAGAATGGTTAAAAGGAATTCTTCAGAGACATAGATTTAGCAGGCAGAAAATCAAAATCAGTAGGGACATAGTGAAAATGAACTGCATCATTAATCTACTGCACATAACTGACATCTACAGAATGCTTCATCCAACAATAGCAGAATACATACTCCCCTCAAGCTCACATAGAACATTCATAGAGAGAGATCACAGCTGGTCCACAAAACACGTCTTAACAACTTTGAAAGAAAAATAAACCATACAAAGTATGTTGTTAGAACACAATGGCATTGATATATAATTAATTATAGGCTGGGTATTTCTGTAGTAGAGTACTTGTCTAGAATGTACAAGGCCTGGGGTTCAAGCCCTAGGACTGTTTAAAAAAAAAAAAAAAAGTCAATAATAGAAACCCTCCCACACCTAAAAACTTGGAAATTGAGCAACACACTTTTAAATATCAGATAGGTTGAAGAAAATGTCTCAAGAAAAATTTTTAAATTTTAAATGAAAATTAAATACAACTTACCAAGTTTGGGGGATGCAGTGAAAGCAGTACTTAGAGGGAAATTTGTATAATATTGGATACCTTTATTTGAAAAGAAAAAGCTAAAATCAGTCATCTAAGCTACCACCTTTGGAAACTAGAAAAAGAAGAGCAAATTAGATCCAAGTAATTGGAAAAGAGAAAATAAAAATTATGGGATAAATCAATAAAATTACAAATAGGATATTGACCTAGAAAAAGTAGCCCAGAATCTGATTCTTAAAAAAGATTGATAAAATTGATAAAAATTTAGCCAGTTTATTTCATTTTAATTAAATAAAAATTACTAAAATCAGAAACGAAAGAAAGGTCATCAGAGCAAAACCATGATAGATATTAAATAGATAATAAATGAATATGATGAGTTACTCCATGCCCACAAATCTCATAATCAAGAACAAACGAACCACTTCCTTAGAAGACAATCTTCCAAAACTCACAGAGAAATAGTTATTCAGAAAGGGCCTAAAATCAAAGAAATTGAATAAATAATTAATAACTTTCCAAAATACAAAGCACCAGGCCCAGAGGGGTTCACTGGTGAACATTTGAATAAGAAATAATACCAATCTTACAATCCTTTTTAGAAAACAGAAGCAAAAGGAATACTTTCAAACTCTTTTCTCTGAAGCATTACCCTAATAATAAGACTATACAAAAACATTACAAGAAAACTGAACTATAGACCAATATCTCTCACGGTCACAGATGGAAAACATCCTCAACAAGTATTAGTAAACTGAGTGCAAAGATATGTAAAAAAGAATTTTATACCATGACCAAGTGTTTGGTTACACCATGGTTTGTTTCAGGTATACAAGGCTGATTCAACATTAAAAATCAATTAACCCATCACATCTAGGTTAAACATGATAACCTAAACAAGAAAAATCACATTACTTTATCATTACATGCAGAAAAAGTGTTTGGAAAAAAATCTATTTCCTATCTATGATTAAAAACTCTCTGAAAATAAAGGGTAGAAGGAAGCTCAGCCTGATAAAGAATACCTACAAAATACTTTCAGTTAACATCATACCTACTGGTACAAATTCCTATTCAGCATCAAACTGGATGTGTGATCTAATGCAATAAGAAAAAAGAAAAGACACAAAAGGTATATATATAGACTGGAAGGAAGAAATAACACTATCTTTGTTCTCAGTTGTCACGATTACCTTTGTAGAAAATCCTAAAGAATCAACAAAATGCTACTAGAACTAAAAGATTACACCAACATTTCAGGATACAAGCTTAACATGCAAAAAAAGGACAATTGTTTTCTTATATACCAATAATGAGCAACTGGAATTTTTTTTTTTTTTTTTTTGTGTGTGTGTGTGTGTGTGTGTTGTGATGCTGGGGATTGAATTAGGGCCTCACACTTGCTAGGCAAGGGCTCTACCACTCAGCTGCATCCCTACCACACCATTGCCACCCCGACCCTACCTCACCCCCTTTTTTTTTGTGGTACTGGTGATTAAAACTGAGGGAACTTAATCACTGAGCCATATCCCCAACTCTTTTTTATATTTTATTTAGAGATAGGGTCTCCCTAAGTTTTTTAGGGCCTCATTAAATTGCTGAGGCTGGCTTTGAACTTAAGATCTTTCTCCTGTCTTAGCCTCCCAAGTCACTGGGATTACAGCTATGCAGCACTATGCCTGGCCAAACAATTGGATTTTGACATTAAAAACAATACCATTTACATTAACATCACTAAAATGAACTAGGTGTAAATCAGACAAAAAGATGTATATGCTCTATATGAGGAAAGCTATCAACCCTGATGACAAATAAGATCTAAATAAATGAAGAGATAGTATACAGGACTAGATTCAGTATTGTCAAGTTGTCAGTTCTTCCCAATTTGATCTATAGATTCAGTGTAATGACAATTAAAATCTCAGTTAATTTGAAAATTGTCACACTGATTCTAAAATTTATTTAGAAAAGCAAAAGACCCAGAATAGTCATTACAATATTGAAAGATAAGAACAGTCAGAGAACTGACACTCTGACTTCAAGATTTAGAATAAAGCTATAAGAATACAGATAGTGTGATTGTGGTGAATGTACAGACCAGTGGAACAAAATAGAGAGCCCAGAAGTAGATCCACACAAAAATACTCAGTGGTCTTTAGCAAAGGAGCAAAGGCAGTTCAGTCAAGAATGGATAATCTTTTCAACAAATGGTGCTGGAACAACTAAACATTTACATGCAAAGGAAAAAACAAAGAATTTAGATACAGATCTTACAATTCTCTCTCTCTCTCTCTCTCTCTCTCACACACACACACACACACACACACACACACACACACACACAATATCAAAAAACTCCTAGAAGACAACATAAGAGAAAATCCAAGTGACCTTAGGCATGGTGGTAACTATTTAAATACAATACCAAATCATAGGTGGAGCTCAGGGGATTTTAAGGCAGTGAAACCATTCTATATGATACCATGATGATGAACATGTGTCATTATACATTTGTCAAAACCCACAGAATGTATGATACAAAGAATGAATGAACCCTAATATAAATTACAGACTTTAGTCAATACTAGTAAATCAACATTGGCTCATCAATCATAACAATGAACCACACTAGGGAAGATGTTAATAATAGAAGAATTGTATATGTAGAGGGGGAGGGGAACACTATTTTCTGCTCACTGCTCTAAAAAATAAATTCGGTTAATTAAAAAAAAGAACAGTGTATGATTTCCTATTTTCTAGGCTTATTCATTAGGCAATAATTGCATTGACTTTCTAAGTAATTTTTATCTTAAATATATTACATGAAAAACTCTTTATTTTACTTTTCTAATCCTAGCTAGTTATTATATGTTACTTAAATTGTATTAAAGACATTTCTTCAGAAAAAAGTGTTGATGTTGAACTTGTAAAATAATTACGTAGAAGCTATATTAATATGATGACATTTTAAAATTTTGTTTTAATTGTAGATGGTTACAATACCTTTTATTTACTTATTTTTTTAATTGATTAATGCCTCACACTGATGTACTAGAAAGCGATTTAGAACATTCACCTGTAGAAAAGTCTTATTTTCCATTTAGAGTTGCCTTTTTCTTTTACAGACAGTCACACATTCGGGGGAAGTTTGTATTTGGTGGATGGAGGATTGTATTTGTGAAAGCAGGATTTATCTGAATACTCCAGTAAGTGTGCCTGATAGATTTTTTTTTAATTGAATTCTAATTTGGTCTGCCTTCTATATTCACATTTCAGTAGTCTGGACAAATACTTGCTACTGAAGGTTTATTACATTTTCACCTTATAGCTTTAGAGTAATCCTTGTGTACAGAGTCTATGCTGCATCCCAGAGAGTGAAACATAGCATGTTATTTCGTTGTATAGGAAAGGATAGTTTTTTCCCTGATAGCAGTTACTTCTGAAATCCTAGTTGTTTCTATCTCATTCATGCCACAGCTTCATTGTAGACCTGCAGGTGTCTCTTGTGTAGGCTCTTTGCAAGGCAAGCTGAGGTTCCACCAGCAAAAAGCTTTAGTGCCAGGGCAAGGGAGGAAGAGTATGCTGGGGTGGGAAGGAGGGCAGTCATTGCTTTTACTCAGAAAAGAAACAGCCCCTTAACCATAGATAGTTAAATGGCCCTGCTTTACAAGGAGATCAGTTAGAAATGAAAGAAAATTACCACTCTAACCAGATAAAGCCAAAATTAAAAAGTAAGGGCTATTGGTTCTGTCAATTATAAAGAACAAAACTTGTCCGGCCTCATGTGTGCCTCAGTCCAGTCGCTCAAATCATATTACCCAAGGACCTGTTTCTCTCTGTCTCCACCATATGCCTTTAGTTTTACTTTTGTCTCATTTAGTGGGCTGCAGATGCCACAGACTCCAATATTACACCTCATTGTCAGGGAAGAAGCTTCTCTTTTCTATCTATTGTTTTGATGATGTCCTTGAACTAATTAATATGGCTAAGGAAATGAGAAATGCTAATTGGCTTAAGCTCAACCCCAGAAATGGGAGTGAGATCCATTCCACTCAACCCTGAAAATAGGGAAGGGTGGTTTCTCAGTGCATATGCAAGAAATTTGCCAGGAGGAGAGTGTATTATTGCAATAGAACGAACCACAACCTCCACAGCACCTGTCTCAATGTGATACCAACATGATACTGCATGTTCATCGTGTATTTTGCATAAAATAATGTTTTAAAAAAGGACCAAGAAACAATTGTAATGGTGGGACTTTTGTATTAATTATCATCATTTGCTACATTATGCAGTTCTAGATGTGCTATGGATCTTAGTAGGTCAGGAAGTCACAACCTTTCCCCTTTATAAAATTAAAATCTCAGTTATAAAAGACTAAGTATCATATCTTATGTTAGAATATTACAAGATGCATAGGACACATAATTCCATGGTATAAATGAAACTCTCCCTCAAAAGTAAAGTTAAAAACTCTGGACTAAAAGACCATAAAACAGAAGACTCTGTAATTTGTGCGGCAAATGCTTATCTGTATTCATTTCTAGAACTAGATAAGATCTTACAAGTTCATCTGATCACATCTCCATTTACAGATGAGAGACTCAAATGCTTACCAATACCCCCAGGGCCCTATTTAACCTGGTCCCATCCTGCTCCTCTTGGCCAAGGAGGGTCACAGGCACCATCAGAAGGCCTCCACCAACTTCACAGAGCTCCAAATCAGGCCTTGGACATTCATGAGATCCAGCCTGTGCTGTGGAGGGGCACTGGGTTGTCCCTTTTGGAGGACACTACTGCCCTACAGAGAATTGATCCAGACAAGCCCAGTGATGCTGGGGCCAGATCTGCCTGCCTGTGCCACTGTGAACCCAGTGGTCTTCAGGGAGCCTGGCTCAGCCCCACAATGGCTACACACCAGCAGCTTTCCTTGATGACACCTTCAAGGGTACAGAAGACTCCTCTGGCTAGTGCTATACTTCTTTAGATTAACCACTTTTGCCCTGGGATGGAGGAGAGTTTCAGGTGATTATTTGGGGAATACACACACACACACACACACACACACACACACACACACGCATTAAGAAGTTTCATAAAATCTCTCAGGTAAAATTAAGATTAATAAAAGCCCACTAAAATTGCATTGTAATGGGGCAGGACACCAGGTACTCATATGAGCTTTGTCACAGCTATGGGATCCTAGGCAGTTGATGTACTCCTTGGCCTCTGTTTACTATTCTGCAAAATGATGATTTCTTAAGTTCTTTTTCAGTCCTAATATTCCACAAAGAATAATCATAGATAAGTTAAACATTTCTGAAATATTTAAAGATTCCTTAAATATTATAGGAGTTAATTTATTCTCTTAGACATTGTACTCTATATAAATAATTTGAAATAAACAGGGATCTCTTATGCCCTTCTTTGAACTGACATAGTTATCTTAAGTCTTCCTCCATCATACCAGCGCCCCAAGATCTACATTACTTGGAGAAAAACAGTTGTTTTTAAAAATCACATTCTACAAAAATGTCTAGAAGATTCTAGAAATTAATTTTAAATATTTTATTTTTATTATTTTGGTCTATTTTTTTCACAATCATTTAGATAGATGATTGACATAATCATTTTAACATCATTTAGAGATTAAAATGATGCTATGGTTTAAAGTTCCAGAAACCTCTTTATATTCTATCATTCTAATTTTAGCAAAATAAGATGTACAAGGGCTGGGCTTGTGGCTCAGTGGTAGAGCACTTGCCTAGCATGTGTGAGGCACTGGGTTCAATTCTCAACACCACATATAAATCAATGAATAAAATAAAGGTCCATCAACAACTAAACTAAAAATTTTAAAAAATAATATGTACAGATTCCTTGACTGCTTATACAATTGGAGAGCTCAGGAGGCTTGAGTCTGTAATTTGAAATAAGTACCACACCACATACCACACTTACTACTCTCATTCTGCAGTATTTTCAAAAAATTGTAGACATTTTTTGTTTTGCTTGTGATTGTTTTTTGGTGCAGAGAATGGAACCCAGGGCCTTGCACACACTAAGCATAGCTCTCACAAGGAGCTGCACCCCAGCCCCGTAGACTTCCTACCTGCAGGAAAGCAAGCTTCATTTTGTGGGGTTTCTCTTCAACAGACCACAGCCCTGGCTTGCTCTCCCTCCTCCCACTCCGCTGTTGTGGGGACTGTGGATGGCTACGTGTACTTCCTGGATGTCCAAGAGGTGGACTCCCCTGGGGTGATCCACAAGGCCTTCCTCTCCAAGTCTGCTGTGCAGCACCTCATGTGAGCACCTCCTCCTCCTGGCACGCTTCTGTCAGCCTGTCTGTTGAGGATTCCAGCAAAACTATCACTGTTTTGAATCTTGAGTTTTGCGTGTTTCATTTGGTTTTCATATAAAACCTTCATTTGGTTCAGTGTTCACAAGGTACAGAGGGGTGTATGGAAAGTTCCCCGAACACCAAGTTCTCTCCCTGGAGGCAGCCTGTTACGAATGTCCTGTGTCCCTTTCCAAAGGCATTTTATCCATAAACAATTGCAAAGATAAGCACTTCTTTGCATTTGTGAATAATTATTGAGCGCTCACTTGTGCCAGGTGCTTCTGTTATAGCTGCTCCTCCCTCCATTTTACAGGTGAGGATGATGAGGCATGAAGAGTTTAAACAGGCAGCGGCATGTGTTGGGATCAGAGACCAGGCCTCTGGGCCTCAGAGTCGCTGCCACTGCTCTTAAAGGGAGCAAACTACACAGTGTTCTGGACCTTGTTTTATTTTTCACTTATTTATTTTCACTACTCCCCAAATAGTCTATCTTAGAGAATTTTTATGTCCACATAAAGACCTTCCTCATTCTTCTTTATAGATAGCAGCATTGGATTCATTATATGAACATTTCAACATTAAAAAAAATAACAGTATGTTAATAGACATTCAGATTGTTTAAAGTCTTTTAAAGCATTATTTTTAAGAAGACAGTGTAGATACATTGTATTTGAACTTAAAAGCTGTTGTTATTATTGCTCTTTCTTTTTAAAATTTATCAAAACAGTAAATATTACACACTGACATTTGTGCCCTGCTTGACAGCTTACTGGAGTTCATTGGATGGGACTCTTAAGTAAGTCTGCTTGTCCCTGCTGGACAGATTAGGGGATTCAGGTCCAAAGAGGCACTGAGAAGACTTTGCTGAAGGTTTTGCAGGCAGCGTGGAGGAGCTGGTTTCTGCCCTCTGTGCTGTTGCTGCGGAGCATCCAGCCCGGCCTGCTGTCACCAGCCGGCTATCACCTCCCCACTCTACTCTGCTCTTCTATACACTTGGTATTTCCTGGGTGCCTCTTCTTTCTCAGACCCACTTCTCTTATTCTGATTTGTCTTTCCTCACTTTTTCTAATTTGAGGGACTAAAGAGATGTTTCACCACATCCTCCTCATCCTGCCACAGACCATTCATGGGGTACTGAATGTCACACCCAGCCCTAATTTGAGAATGGCTTATTCCCACTTGAAATAACAAGAAAGCTCTATTGACTTACTTTATTCATTTACAGTGACACAGTTGTCCATGTTTCGGGCATCTTCCTGTGTGGAAGGACATCTTCATGTCCTCTGTGGTATGGGTATAGAGCACAGTGGTTACGTCTACCTGTGATTGCTTGGCTTTCACAAGGTCAGAGACTTATTAACTACCATTGGTGATGGGTTTTGAGCATATCTCCTTGGCCACACATCCATATACTTGTTCACTATCTCTCTGATGAAGCAAGTAGGATCTGATAATTAGATTTCTTCTTTCTAGTTTTGATCAGCGAGGAATATTTCTGTTTGTTGGATCCTCAGAAGGAAACATCTTTATTATGAATGCCAATCCTTCAAGCTCATTTGAGATCCTAGGATTCGTAGGTATGACAGAATATGTATTAATTTAAAATACCATTCACTTTATTTCAAAGAATTTCAGGTTAGAAAAATAGAACTATAGCAAAATAATTATTTGTATTATATTTTTAAAAAGAGAAACATTTAGATAACAGTCATTTAGGAGGATCCCCACATTATATGTAGAGGTATTTGCTGTGTTAGAGTTACCTGCTATCTGATGCTAAAGAAATTTCTTGAATCAAGTATTGAATGTGGCTGAATATTTCTGATGTATATTTTAAGGAGGAATAAGGATAGTTTCTCCCTGAAATACTTTTAAATGATATTTAGATGTTTAATATTTATTTAAGAACTAATTCTTTCCTCTCTGGCTTTAAGTACCAAACATGTATATATTCCCTCAAAAACATTTTCTAAATTCATTCATGAATTTCTAAGAATATCAAGTGCCTAGTAAGAGCAAAATGCTAAATCTAGGCCTGTGGGAAATGAAAAGGTCAAGGAGACAACTTAGTGAGGGGAGAACAAAGCAAAGTTCTGCATTGGCCCAGAGGCAGAGCAATTAATTCTCCCAGGTGTGAGGGAAGGAGGTAAAGCTGTGTACAGGTATGGAGGTGAAGATGGTAAAGGAAGGGTTTTCCAAAGAAAAGTAGTGAGCTCTGAGGATTCCATAGGTGTGGGATGGGATGTATTAATATTACAGCTCAAGATAAAAAAAAAATTTAATGAAGTCTGATGTAATAGGGAAATGGAAGAGTTTATTAGAAGGTGCCCATGACAATTAAGTGTAAAAGATGACAAAGGTCCCTGAATATCGTTCCAAGGACTCTGGAATTTATTCTGTGCTCAATGAGACATCATCAGAAATTTCAAGATGGAATTGACATTATTTGGCTTTGGCTTGGTCTTCAGAGGATGACTCAGGCATGCATGTGAAGGATATAGTAGAAAGAAAAGAGAATGGAATAAGAGAAATGAATAAGGAAGCTGTAATAGTAGTCAAGACAAGAGATAACAATACTCGATCATAATGGCAGCTGGTGTTTATTGAGGGGTGCCTTGCTATATGATAGCAAGTTTTCTACGGTGTGTGTTAACTCCATTAGCAACTCTTGTGAGATAGATGACTGTTGTTATTCACTTTTTATAGATGAGGCAATTGAGGCACAGCAGGGTTAAGTACTTGTTCAAGATCACACAGGTAGGTAGTGGAAGATTCAGGACTCAAAACTCAGAAAGACCAACTTCAGGTCATGTGCACAATGCACAAACCCATGCAGTGTCTTGGAAAGAGAGAAGAGGAAACAACTCTGAGTGATGGGATTGGTAGGACTTGGTATTTGATTATATGTGAAAAGGAGGTATGTTAGCTTCCCAGTCCTATAACAAATACCTGAGATAAATCAAGTTATAAGAGAAAAGGTTCATTTGGGCTCACAGTTTGGGAGGTTTCAGTCCATAGTCAGTCCCATAGCTTTTGGGCCTGTGGTAAGGCAGTACATTTTGGCCAAGAGCTGCTCACCTTAGGGTGTTTGGGAAGAAAAGGAAGACAGAGGAAAGAATTGGGGTCCCAATGTCCTCTTCAGGGCATGCCCCCAGCAACCTAACTTCCTTCCACTGAGCCCCACCTCCTAAAGATTCCACCCTTCCCAATAGCACCACAGGCTGGAAACCAGGACTTGACCCCAGAGTCTCTGGGGGAAACAATACAAACCACAGCAGGAGAGACCAGCATTTACTCCAAACTTTCTAACCTGGATAGTGGAAGTTTGTGGTGTCATTAATTTGAAGAAGAAAGGTTTTGAGGCTTCAATTCTGTATATTTGAAGCCAATAAGCAATTCATTTGGGGATATTTAGCATTAGTTTGGAGATAGAAATACACAGTTCAAGGCTTGATAATAGAATTCTGATCTTGAAAGCATGAACGTTGATTAGTGAAGCAAATCTGAATGTTTACTGGAGCCAAACAAGCAATCTCAATATGTCAATTAGATGGCACCTAGTGTGGTAGATCCTGTGACCAACCTCAGAGTGGACAGATACATGCTGCCTAAGTATCCCACTTCTTAACATCTTTCCTTGGCCAGTGGGTGGGATGAGAAACTGGGAATGGAACACTAGTCTGTTTTGCATTGAAGGTGTGGACAGAGGAAGAGGAGGCAGTGGAGAAAACTGAGGCTGGGTCAGAGTAATGAGAAAACCGGGAGTCACAGCCCTGCCCCACCAAAAAGCATGAGGAAGGCGGGCTGGGTGAAGGTGCAGCTGTGACTGGTGTGAGTGCTGCAAGGATGATCTGCAGGGAACCCCTGAGAGACAAAGAGGTCAGGGAGGGACTAGAGGTAAGAAAATGGAGTGATTAAATGCCAAGACTATTTTAGGAAGTTTACCCAGGATGGAAGAATCAGATACCAAACTGAAGGGAAGCAGAGTTGAAGGACAGTTCTTATCAGAAGACAGAGCAGAATAGAAGGAGACTTGGGGACACAAGACCAAAGAAGTGATTGAGCTTGGTGGGGGTGGGGGTGCCACTGTGGCACACACCTGTGATTTCAGCAACTCAGGAGGCTGAGACAAGAGGATTTCAGGCTCAAGGTCAGCCTAAGCAACATAGCAAGACCCTATCTCAAAATTAAAAATAAAAAAGGCTGGGGGTATAGCTCAGTGAAGGGGTATAGCTCATTGAAGGGGCTCCCCTGGGTTTAATCCCTACCACAGACAAACAAGAGGTGATTGATAGTGCAAGGTCCAATTGGGTTTGGAGGGGTAGTCTCAAAATCACAGATGGGGCCTGAGATTGATTCCTGCCTCATTATGGAAATAAAGGAGGAGGAACGAAACGGCAAGAAGATGAGGGAGTCAGGATAAGAATCTTGAGGCTGAGTTTGAGTGAGATGGCCTTGATCTTCCTGTTGAGGAACAGGTAAGGGCATGCATTACGTGCACATCTGGGGAAGGGGCTGAAAAGGGGGACAGCTGCAGTATCACCCCTCCGAGATGGAGAGGTAAGTGTGGAGTGAACCCACAGTGGGCTGCAGGCACAATATGCCTTGCTGATGTACAGACGCAAAGAACACCAGTGCCTGAGCTCATCCGATATTTAGAGTGGGCAAACTCGGCTGGGGCTGTAGCCCAGGGTAGAGTGCTTGCCTTGCATGTGTGAGGCACTGGGTTGGATCCTCAGCACCACATAAAAATAAATAAAGATATTTGTCCATCTACAACTTAAAAAGTTAAAAAAAGAGTGGGAAAACTGGCTGGAGTGCCTGTGCCAGGGCACAGGGCACACAGGGGGCAGATGGGTAGAGATGATAGACTCTGGAAGCCACCCCAGATGGGAAAGAAGCTAAACCAAGCTGGGGGCACTCTGCTGATCTAGATATAATCAGGGAAGATCTTCCATCAGTTCATCAAAAATGTTTTTTTTTTTTTAAAGGTGAGCATCTTTTTTTTTAATATTTACTTTTTAGGTGTGGATGGACACAACACAATGCTTTTATTTTTAATATGGTGCTGAGGATCGAATCCGGTCCCTGCCCGTGCTAGGCGAGCGCTCTACTGCTGAGCCACAATCCTAGCCCCATCAAAAATGTTCTTGTCACTTATGTTTAAAAGTCACTGGATATACTGATAAATAAATTTGGTTCTAAAGTTTGTATAAAGGCAAGTCTATAATGTGATATCATAATTGGGGATGGTAAGAAGTTCTGACCACAGGAGCATCGATTTCCATTTGCTTTCAGAGGTGAGCAAGGACATTCTACAAATATCCACGGTGTCTCTTTTGGAAGTAGACGTGGTACAAGTATTGGTGCTTTCTTCACTTCCAGAAGCAGAAAAAAGCAGGTTGGAATTATTTACTGTGCCCAAAATACTACCAACAGGTAAAGAAAAACCGACAACCCAACCTATTCTATCTTTGACTCAGCAAAAGTGTTGTTATAGTTGTTTTTTGGTCTTTTTTTTTTTTCTCCTAATTACGTCATTTGTGAAGAGGTAAAATGGTTATTTTTTGTGCATCTTTACAAAGTTAAACTGATGTGACTGTGGAACAACCTGAAATGTGCATTTCTCTCTAGACCTTGTAACTCATGAGTCTGCTTTATTAGCAAAGAAAAGAAAAAGGATCAACTGACACTATGTCATTTTGTGATGTCTCTTGTTTTTGTAGCTCTAAACATATATAGTTAAATTCAGACTCTTTACAGTATAGTTACCTTCACTGATAAAAATTTTTTTAAAGAGAGAGTGAGAGAGGGAGAGAGAGAAAGAGAGAGAATTTTAATATTTATTTTTTAGTTATCAGCGGACACAATATCTTTGTTTGTATGTGGTGCTGAGAATCGAACCCGGACCGCACGCATGCCAGGCAAGCGTGCTACTGCTTGAGCCACATCCCCAGCCCAATATAAATTATTTTTTAAAACAACAAAAAAGTTTTACTTCATCTTCTCATAGTTCCAAGAGCATTTCCTACTATGAGTTTATATTTGTATACCATTTAGAATAGTGTCTGAGATACACTAAATATTCCATAAGGGCTTGAGAAATAAAATAAAATACAGAGATAGTCTTTGCTTATACACTAATATACCCCTACTTACAAAATTCAGATTTATTGATGTCTCACTAATAAATTACAAAGAAAGTTATCTGGGTGAAAAATTATGAGAAAATAGATACTTTGTTTTAGATGACAAATATATTTGGGTAGCAATTTTACAAATAAATGATTATAGAGTATAAGAGAAAATCTCAAAGAATATTTTGTTTTAATTAGGAATCTCTATACTATGTACGTTTATTTTATTTTTAAAATTTATTTATCTATTTATTTTTTGGTGCTGGAGATTGAACCCATGGCACTTTAACACCGAGCTACATCCTCAGCCCTTTTTATTTTGAGACAGGTTCTCACTAAGCTGCTTAGGGTCTTGCTAATTTAGAGACTGGCCTCAAACTTGTGATCCTCCTGCCTCAGCCTCCTGAGTTGCTAAGATTACAGGGTGTGCCACCCTACATGGCTCATATATTTATTTACTGAGGTGTCTTTAAGTTAATTGACAAAATTAACTAAGACCAGCAAAAGAGATTTTACTCATCAGTCATCAGTATTTTTAGTGTAAATAAATTGTTTTAAAATCATTTTCATAAATGAATAGCCTCTGCAATATTAAGTGAGCACTTAAAACTTTTATTTTGCTTCTCATAATTGTTAATAATGATAAAGAATAAAATCAATATATGGTATAAATCAGTTCTCTTCTTCCTCAAATCCTATAGTTTCTGAAAGCTTCACTGATGAAAGAGGGAAACTGAAAGAGGAGCTGATTCATTTGTACCTGTATGAGATGGAGCACACTCTGTCCTCTGCAGTCTTGGACTTTCAAAGTAACCAAATATATGGCTTCTGTAATCAAGCACCATACGTCTGTAGCTATCTTCTTCCTGAAAAAGTATGCCAAAACTCTAGCATGCTATCACTCACCTTAGCAATCAACATTGACAATGTGCTATTTAGACATGATCCTCTTGTCTGCTTTAACAGAATAGTTCAGTTAATAAAAGGCTTTATTGTATTAATACACTGCCCTTGAATTAGATAATATTAGTGTTACTTGTTAATCCAGCATAAAATACCTCTGAGCAAGCTCACACTCGTGCTGCATGTCACACTTGCCAGATAACCCAATGAAGATGACCTAATATTGGGTTAGTTGCTTAAAAAAATCTAGCATTAGAAAATCTATTCCATAGATTCCAAGGGCTAGAGGATGGGTAATTTTCAGTGGAACTCGGTGCCTGATCTGTAAGCAAAATAACTGAACTATGTTCCTAACATCCTTTCATCACTCTCTTTGAACTTCTTCCATGTTGTGTCACCTTCTGCTCTGCACACTGTCCCAGTGACCCTCTGCTTGCTGCCCCTTAGCTATTCAGTGTCCCACTGAATGGGTCCCAAGAGTATCTCCCGCCTCTCTCAATTCAATCAAAGCCCTTCTCTCTCAGAGTAGACAGCATTGGACATAGAAATTGCAAGAAGAAAGAAATGGTTCATGGAAAAGGGAATTCAAGAAAATTTCATGAGCAGTATTTGAACTGGACTTTGAAGAACAGGTCAGATTTAGACGTGGAGAAGTAATATGAGCTGTATAGGGGTAGATGCTGATGTAAGGAGATGGGCAGGACTGGCGGGGATAGGGTGGAAAAGGACATTTCAGACCAAAGAAGGACATGTGAAAGGCCTGGGGGGGAATGCAAGAGACACATAGGAGGTATAGCCACTACCTTATTTTATTCATGTATTTATACCAGGGATTTAACCCAGGCATGCTTAACCACTGAACCACATCACCAGCCCCCACCCCACCCCCTTTTTTTTTTTGTATTTTATTTAGAGACAAGGTCTTGCTAAGTTGCTTAGGGCCTTGCTAAGTCGCTGAGGCTGCCTTTGAACTCACGATCCTCCTGTCTCAACCTCCTGAGCCACTGGGATTATAGATGTGTGCCACCACTTCTGGCCTCAACTACCTTATTTTGACTTTTACTAGGATGTATAAAAATTATTGGCAAAAATAAAGATTGTCAGTGTCAGCTGAATCTTTAGAAGCAGACTACATATGAAGACTTTCCTTAGCTAGCAAAACAAACTTTTATTTGCAAACAAAGTATGTGTTACATAGTACAAACATAAGCACCTACTTTATCCCATACTAATTCATTTCTAAGAACAGCATTTGTGATTTAAATATGAGCATGCATGCAAAATGCACATCTGTAAACACGAATTTGCTGTTCATCTAATCTTTTCTATAATATGGTTCTTTTCTTTGATTAGCAGGAAGATACCAAGGTTTGTATTCTTAAGCCACACCAAAAAGTGCAAAGCAAGCATTATGGAACTGGAATGCTCTATCTATCTTGGCATGGATTGTGGCTCATAACAATAGCTAAATGTGGAATTCTGTGTATCCGAGATATTTATACTTTGGTAAGCTCCTTTAAAAAAAAGTATGCAGTGTATATATTGTTTTCAGATAACTAACAAAAGTCCTTAGAAGACAAACCAGAACTTTTTCTTATGTTCATTGACTCAACTTTTTCTTATCATTGATGGAATTAATGACTTTGACTTTTTTTTTTCTTAGTACCAAGGATTGAACCCAGAGGTGCTTAACCACTAAGCCACATCCTCAGCACTTTTTATTTTTTATTTTGAGGCAAGGCCTCTCCAGGTTGCTTAGGGCCTTGCTGAATTGGTGATCTTTGAACTTGTGATCTTCCTGCCTTGGCCTCCCAAGCTGCTGGGATTACAGGTGTGCATCACCACACCTGGTGACTTTGCCATTTTTACAAGTGTCTTGATATACCCTGGTTTGAATCTTGAAGGGAAGAAACTCCCACCAGGAAAAGGAGATCTACAAACATAGAGCACTAGGCAGGGCACTACCTAACTCTGCAATCAGCTAGCTGTGTCTTAGAAATTCACTGAGCTCAAAGAAGTTCAGATGCTCAGACAGGAAATCAGGAAAGTCTCAAGGCTCTGCCCTAGCGGTAGTGGGGGGAACTGTTTTTGAAATGGCGAATTACTCTGCAAACATGCTACCCCCTGGCTTGAAGAGCCTTGGCTGGCTTGCTGCTGCCCCACTGTCCCTTCACGCTGGAATTGCACAAGGGAGCAGGGTTGGCCCTGATTCAGTCCTCCACCATCACTTGCAAACTCAATCACCACCACTACTATTTTTGATTTCCATTGTCCTTAGACCTCTGAAAAGGTAAAAGTAGTTGCCTTTCCCCAAAAGGTAGGGGATATTTTTCTAGGTTTTGGGACTGTGATTTTAAGGAATGATTTGCAAACTGCTACACTGTCAACTAGTGAAACAAGATATAATGTATGGTATATCTGACAGTGGCATGACATGGCAAGATATCAAGATGTTCTGAGTGACTGTATTGACTATTTTGAGTAAGGTCATCCTCGGCAGTACTATTTGTAAAACAGAGGGTTAAATAAATAAAGTTATGATGGTACAAAATTAGTTCATAAATAAAATATAGAATATTAAGCAGCTATGATACAGAATGAGGAGATCGCTACATAAGAACATGGAAAATATTCCAATATATATTGATCATTAAAGGGAAAAGCAACCTTGTATATATACATATTATAATTTATGTAAGAAAAATTCATATTGCATAAAAATCTGTTTGTATACATGTAAAAAAAAACTCTGAAAGAATATTGATGGTTCTTGTTACATTGATTGCCTTTGGAAGGAGGTTTTGGGACATGGGGATAGGAGGGAGATTCCATGTCATACACTTACAGTTTTAAAATTTTTGAACTATTGCCTATTCAAGAAATTAAATGAAAAATGGATCATTCTTGAGAATCAGCGTGAAAAATCATAGTTTTCAGACAGGGAGCTTAAATGGTTGTTCTGTGTGACACATTGGTGGGTTGTGTGTGTGTTGTTGTTTTTGGATTTTTTTTTTCCCAATTGGTTTAATGAGAATCCTCCAAGGGCTATTGTGTATCTTCCAGCTTCTCACCCTCTCTCCTGGGTGCTCAACTGCTTTGCACATCAATGGAACCTGCCTGACTGTATTGACTATTTTGAAGGCTTCTGAATTTGCCACCTCTGCTTGCTCAAGGCCCCACCCCTGCCTGACTCCATAGCCTTCAGCAAGTTCCTTCACTTCCCAATGCCTCATTGCCAATCATAAATCTGTGACAATAATATCTCTCCTTCCACCCTACTGGGAGAATAAATCAGTGCTAATAAATGAGTTTAAACTAGGGACACATTACTATGAACTACATCCATACCAACTGAAGTGCTATTAGCAAATAGAAAAAGATTTACCCACAGGCTGAAGTACATATAAGCCTGTTAGGAAAGCCACGTATAGAAGTGCATTCCTAATTTCTCCACTTTGTTCCTAAAACTATTGAGGAAACATTTGCTCGGTGTCAGAGTCATTCTCATCAGGCGCATGGGATTCAGTCCATGAGAATTTCAATGGATGGACAAAGTATTCTGGTGAATGGGAAAGATGACGGCACCCTGGTTTACCTAAAATGGAAGTACGTATGGTATACAGTAAGCAATCCATTTGGTATGATGTTTTAAAATATGGATTTTATTATTAAGTACAGCAAGGCCAATGTAAAGGAATTTGGCTGCTATTGCAAAGATAGTCTCTTATGCTCACAGATTCCTAGAAGAAAGGGCACACCATGCTATAAGGCCATGCAGGAAGCACAAGGGTGGGCCAGGAGGCTGAGGGAGTGGAGAAAGGTGGGCAAGAGCCTTGGTTTCCAAAGTAAGAATCAGGCAGGTTTGGGACAGGCTAGTTTGAATAATATCAGCAGGTGCTGGGACCTAATAGCTGCCCCTAGGTGTCTGGGACTTGGTACTGGGGCTATTAGGAAAGGGAAATGATGACCCTGAGTGTGAGAGCCCCTGAGGGGGTGGCTGGGCTGTGGTGTCTACATTTGAAAGGCCTACTTCTGGCTAGTGGTTACTATCTCCAGGAATTAGATAGCCCTGGAAGAGGTATTCCCCAGCAGGGTAATCAAGGCCCCAGATATCAAAGCATTAAAATTCAAAACATAAAAATGGCATAATTAGGCAGCCAGGTGCAGTGGCGCATACCTGTAATCTTAGCAGCTCGGGAAGTTGAGGCAGTAGGATTGTAAGTTCAAAGCCAGCCTCAGCAAAAGCGAAATGCTAAAGCAACTCAGTGAGAGCCTGTCTCTAAATAAAATACAAAATAGGGCTGAGGATGTGGCTCAGGGAATCAGTGTCCCTGAGTTCAATCCCAAGTACAAAAACTAAAATAAATTAATTAAAAAATTAAAATAAAATAAATAAATAAAGGTATAGTTTTATTTAGATGACTTTAAAAACTCCTATTTGTCTCCCAAGAAACCTCACACGTGTGTATGTACACATACAAACACATTTACTTATCTTGCTTAGATGATATTAAATTATATAGAGTTAATTTGTTTATATTCAAGTTAAAATTCTAAATAAATATTACCCAAACATATGGATGATGACCAGGGGGTAGAAAACATGAAGTTGACACAAAAAAGACAGACTGGACTTTAAATGTTGCCTTGTTAGATCTGCTAATGGACATCATTCATTAATGTGCCATTGATCCTCATGATTAAAACTGTAATAAAACATAGTCTTTTGTGACAACATTGTGAAATGTTAACTATTGCAGAAGTTTGTATCATAACAATTTTGGTAGCCATTTATTTCAAGAGTTCATTTGAAGACTGTGTCTTCATGACCATTTTGTACATGGAAACCTGAGTAAAACATAAACTTGTATCTTGCTAAATGTTAAGTCCCACCAGGCCCACATGCTTGTAATTTCTGTGGTTTGGGAGGCTGAGGCAGGGGGATTGCAGGTTCAAAGCCAGACTCAGCAACTTAGCAAGATCCTGAGCAACTTATTGAGACCCTGTCTCAAAATAAATATAAAAAGGGTTGGGGATGTGGCTCAGTGGTTAAGAGCCCCTGGGTTCAATCCCTGTGTTAAAAAAAAAAAAAAAAAAAATCCTAACATATCCTTTATAGTCAGTGGGCAACAGCAGAGGGGTGTTCCCACTGTTCATAGAGGGAAGCTTCCATCTGTCAGTCATCACCTGAGCTCTGGCTCAGAACACAGCTGGATTTGAAACTTTAGTCCAGGACTAATGAGCTTATGACCTTAGACATGTGACATCTCCTCGAAGTCATCTATAAAAAATGTGACTGGAGGAAGGGTCTGTAGCTTCTACAAGATTGCTAGAAGTAGATGTTCTTGGGCCCATCTAGACTCTCTGAATCAACAGAGTCTGCAGATGCACCCAGGTATGCGTTTTTACAAGCCCTCAGGGTGAAGCTGATTTGCCCTGATGTGCTGCAGAAGTAATCCCCCACCCACCCAGGGAGTGGGCTCTGAGGGCCCAGAATGGTAACGTGATATCATAAGTGGAGCAGTGCAGCACCTGGTGCTTTCTGAGGGCTCAGCAGATACAGTGGCTCTTCTGTGCAGTGGCCAGGGCAGGCTCAAGGGCCATGATGGGTGAGGTGATAGTGATAGGGAAAACATGAGGAAAAGTCACCTGAGAGAGGTCAAGAGACTTTTGTCCTGGAGCCTGCTGAAAGGCTTCTCCTCTAAGGAGTGGAGTCCTACTTATTACAGGACACTGTGGAGAATTATCTATGTTTCTTTGTGCCGAGATGATTTGGTATGTAGAAATAACATTGCTAAATATGAATTTTTTAAATTGTGATATTGTAACCTATGTGTTTTCTTTCTTCTTAATATAGGCGCACTGGAGGAATTTATGGCGATGAAAGTATTGATTATTTCCAGAAACTACTTACATTTCTGAGCAAGACCATAGCAGAGGAGAATTATTATTTAAACTCTCCAAGAGTTTCTTTAGATTTGGGACATGACTTTAAATATTCAGTTGAGTTCCTACTAGCTTGCTTGCTTGTTTCTTTCTTTGTAAATCATATAGAACTCTTCTATGTTTGCTTTCATGATGTTGACATTCCATTTAGGGACTGAATAAAACAAGAAAAAGTTAGGGCATGATAAGTGCTATTCAGTGAATAAAAAGAGGTTAGTATGATAGTGTTTGGCTAGCCAGCTTCTTCTCCAAGGAAAGACCTTTAAGCTGAGATCTGCACTGGAGGAGGGGCCAGGGACTGGGGGACAGCAGACCTCTGTGTAGAGGAGCAGAGCTTGGCATGAGGTGTGAGGACCTACAAAAAGTTTATGCCATTCAAGTGAGCAAGGGAGAAAGTAGTAAGAAAAGAGGTCCTTGGGGGCAGGGGGGTGGCAAGACCAGGTGAGGAAGCCCTTGTAAGCCAGGTAGAGTGTGATTTATTTTGCATGTAGTGAGAATCTATTGAACTGTTCTAAGCAGAGGATTAACAAGACCACCTTTACATTTTTTGAAATGATTAATTGCCTCTGCAAGGAGGTTTCCTGTAGGAGACAAGGATGGAAGTGGGGAAATTGCTCAGGAGGCCATGTAGGGGTCCAGTTAGCAGTGATGGCACAGAGGAGAGAAGTGATGGATTCTAGTCAGTTTCAGAAGTAGAGTTGATGGAACTCACCAAGGGGCTAGACTTAGGAGAAAAGAAAGGACCCAAGGACAAGTCAGATTATTTCCTTTGAACAATTATGTAGAAGATGGTACCATTCATGGGAATGGGGCAGACTGTGGGGAAGGGAGCAGCTGTAGGGAGAAAGATGGAGCTTGAGAAGCCTGTTCAACGCGTGAGTGGAGATGCCAAGCAGGCTGTTGGATAGATGAGCCTTGAGTTCTCAGGAGAGGCCAGGACTGGAGATGTCAATTGAGGGTCAAGGCATGTGGGTGGAATTAAAAGCCAAAAACTAGATCAAAGTCATGATGGGAAATGAATGGAGAGAAGCACAAGAGACCAGACAGGAGCAACTCCTAGAAAGTCAAGCCAAGGGAAGAGTACAGGGAAGCAAAGGAGAACAAGGGGGTGGCCAGTGAAGTCACAGGAGAACCAGGGGGGACAAATTTTGCTACAAAGAGGAGCATGAAAATGGGGTGACAGTCAAAAGGAAGCATGCCTGTCATTCAAGAGTAGTTTTCCTAAGAGATTATCTTTGGATACTGTTGGAAAAGATCCAATAGAAAGGAGAAATGGATGCTACAGGAAGATGGCAAGTAGAAAGTGTAAAGACCTCAAGGAGGAGAAGATCATAAGCACAGATGGCAGAGCTTGAGAACACATGGAACCACAGTAAAAGGAAGGAGACAAGAGCAGTGTGGTAACCCTGTGACCTGAGTGATTATTTCTGCCCTCAGTAACTTTCTCAGTCACTTGCAAAGTAGCAGTTAGACTAAAGCAAGGTGTCACAATGGTGTTATTTCACATACACTTCCTATTTTTTGTCTTTAGAATGTTTTAATTTCTGTAAATAAGGACAGACTGGTAGGAATTAAATGAATAAAACGTAGCATCTTTGTCAAGCAAATGTCTAGTTTTTTAATGCAACAAATGCAAAGGGATTCGATGCAGTTCTATGAAGTAAACTGGAAGGAGAAGAACTCAATGAGTTTTTAATATAAGAAACGTCTATCTTCTTCTAAGATTGACTCGTCACAAGAAGAATTAGCCACTGAGGAGAGTAAGAAGGAAATTCCCTGGATACAGTGGAAAAGCCAAGAGGTATTTATAAAATGTTGGACAGGTTTGAAATAATGCTCTGTGGTGTGCAAATAGATTAGGTTCTAATAGAAACCTGGTGGAAAGAAGACTGAATGAGACACCACTTGACAGGGTGTTGTATCACTGCAAGTGTAACTTTCCTAAAAACCAAGAGACCCCTAAACACAGCCCAGTCTTTTAGATTAAGTTCATGAGCTTTAGGGACTTGGCTAATATGAAACCTGACAAAAAGTGTCCAGGTAAGCTAAAACAGAATGAACTGTGGTGCCCCATTTCCATGGAAGTTTTTGGGGAGTGCCCACCTTGAAGCAATGGGGTAGGCTAGCAATAGAGGTGATGCTGGTGGCTTCTAGTGTCATAAGAGACTTAGGCAATGGGCAAAGGGTAGATTTTATCTGAATTCAGCCTGCTTGTCAATTTTCACTCAAGTTCCCAAAGAGCCCATCACTTTTCCTTGGTCAATTAGTCACTATTTAATTTTTCACTATTTAATTATTTTCTTTCCATTGGCATCAGTTTTGAGATGCTTCAATAGTCCCTTCATAGTACAGTTAGATTTAAGCAAAGTGTCACAATGGCTTTATTTCATGGATGTGTTTATTATTCATCTGGTAGTGTTTTATTTCTCTTTCTAGAGAAGGGCCATCTACCTATCTATCTAAGCATGTATCATTTTTCCCCCTACCATTTCTCTTGCTTTGTTGAGTGATGTTCTTGCTCCATTTCAGGCAGTTGAAAAGGAAATTAAAATGTTTTCCCAGAAAAGGAAAGAGATAAGAAGAGGAATCAAAGAACTTGCTAAAACTGTAAGTGCTGTGATTTCCTACACTAATCCACTTGACCTGTTGTCTAAGATCACTTTTCAAACTTCATTTTGTCTAGCACAATAGGAAGCCACACCCTTTTTTTCCTCTGCCTACAAGCTGAAGTTTCTGGGGTACTTTGACAGTTGAATTTTTCCCATATTACACTCTATCTAAATAGTGTCTTCCCCAAATGCCCTATTTTACATGATATTTTCATACTTATTTTTATCAAAGTTATACATATACATATTTGTAAGTTAGATAATAAGTAACATAATCAAAAATGTTTTAAAAGCAGCCTCTGCCCTGCTTCTCCCTGCTCTGATTCCTGTACTTCTGAGGTAGCTGTTTTTAATTTTTTCCACTTTTTCTTTTGGCTCTTTACCTCCAGGTTTCTAAATGGCCATCTTAATACTGCTGTTTCTTGAGATTTCAATTTGGATGCTAACTATGAGCTTGCTAGTATAAAAGAAGGTGGATTCTATTATACACACACCCCCCCCCATACAGATCAATCCAGCTCAGTATACAAACTATTACAGTTATGTAAATCTTCAAACATAAGCATGAGTTATACTGTATATTATGATTAGCCTATGCACTTATTACCTATTTAAACTCCTGACATGCTAAAAAAAAAAACAAAACTCTTCTCAATACAAATACCTGAGGTAATCAATCAGATGATAGTATGCTCTTATTTTTTTCAAACTCCCTTCTACAGCTTTCCATCTTCTGGCTCCAGTCTAAGCCCCTTGCTCTCAAGGCCAGGCACTCTCAAGGCCATCTTCCTGGGAAATTCTCTTATCTGCCTCCTGAGTTGGAAGCCTTATTTCCTGGGTCCTGAGTGTTTTGTTGTTTTTTTTTTTCCCCCCTTGGCATGCATCTTCCAGTAGTTTCCTCAGCAGGACCTCTGTTCCAGGCTTGGGAACATACTTTAGAGCAGAACTGTGCTTCTTGGATGCCATTCAAATGTAATCCAGCATGAATAGTGGCTGTCCCTAGCACTGTGCTTTGGTGCTGTTCTTGAAAAAACATACAGGTGAAAAATATTGTGTGAGATTTGGTTTTTCTTAAAATGTCTTTATCCTGCTCTCATATTTCTTCGGTGGTTTGCAAAGGTGCACAGTAATTTCCCCTCAGAATTTTGAAGGCCTACTCCATTGTCTCCTGACTTATAGTGTTTGCTTTAGAGAGTCTAGTGCCTTTTTTATTCCCAGTTCTTTGTAGGCAATAATATTTTTATCTCTGGAAACTCATAGGGTCCTCTTTTTATCCTGATGTTTAGAAATTTCAAGGTTATGAATCTCAACATGTTGATGGATTTTCTAGGTTTGTTGGTGTAGATATATATGAACTGTGCTACCATTTCCGCCATGCTCTGAACCCCCTAGAGGCTGGCCTTTCTGGCAGCAAGAATGCCCTCTTTTGCCATTTGACTTCCACTTTGGAAGTGGCAAGGTATGGTAACTATATGAGACTGAAGGGCAGGAGACTAAAGTCAGAGTTCTTATTTTCTCATAGGTTATGAGTTAGCAGTGACTACCAGCCCTCTCATGAAGGGCTAAGTTCCAGTAACTACTTCCAACCCTGGCCTTTCAGACAAGGAATGATAGCTTCCCACAGGTGCTAGCTCAGGATGCTTTATGGTACGTTGCTGGTTTCTGTACCCTGCCACATCTATTTTAAAAGTGCCTCTCTTTAATCCTCCCATTTGAATGTATCCTCCAAGTCCTACCAGGTGCCTAGGTTTTTGGTTTTCTTTTCCCTTTTATATGCTAGACATTGGTCAGTCCTTTTAATAGGAAAACTTTATCTTTCAGTACCAGGAAATGTTCTAAAATTATTGCTTTGGTAATTTCCTCCCTGTTTTCTTTATGTTCCTGATTACTGATGAGGTCAGCACCTTTTCATGACTCTAAAGACTGAATCCTCTGTTCATGCCTTGCACATTTTGCTATTGTGTTGTTGGCCTTCTT